GCTCGTATGTTTTTTATTCAACCTGCCTAAACAGCTCCTATATAGAGTGGTGTGACGGGTGAGACATTAAATTCAAGTTATAAGGAAATTGGCAGTGAGACTTAGAAAACCAATCCTAAGGCCAATGCTTCAAAGTTTCCAATTAGGAAGACTTCAACTTTAGGAGCGAGTGAAATAAATACTGCAGTTCAGAATATCAATGATAGGGCACCCATCACCAAGGCTCAGGAGATTCGTCCAGAGTTTCATATTGGGGAGTCTTCAAATTCAGCACTAGGTGAACCAATACTATAGTTCATAATACAATTCCAGCTCAGGAAATTCATTGACAATAAGCTTTCAAAGACATTTAAGTGGGTTCTGAATCTTTTATCATCAATCAGGAGCAACACGAAGAAGAGGTTCAACTGAAAGATAATAACCCTACCCATGTAGCTTTTCAACAGGTTCCACAAGAAAATAACCCTACGCCAGCGCCTGTAGATTTTGAGCCCAAATTTCAAGTAATGTTTCAAAATATGTTTGTAGTGCTAGATGAAGAAGAAGAGTCTGAATTTATTAATCCCTTTCACGATATATTGTAAGAGCAGTAGTCAGGATTTCATGTCAAACTTTCAAGTGGTTTCTGAATCTCTTATCATCAATTAGGAGCAACACAAAGAAGAGGTTCAATTGGAAGATAAAAACCTTGCCCCTATAGCTTTTCAGCAAGTTCCACAGGAACAAAATAACCCTGCGTCAATGACTATAGTTTTTGAGCTCGAATTTCACGATATGTTGCAAGAACAATAGTCAAGATTTCATGTCAATGTTTGACACTGTTTATAGAATCCCCATACAGACCTTGTGTAAGGGTCGTCCCTTAAATTTTTTTTTTTTTTTACACATCATTAAATGCATTGTTTCCATTTTTAGAATCTTTGTATAGACCTAGTGTAAGGGTCATGCACTAGATTTTTTTTCTGTTGATCATCATTAAGTTTTTAATCCCTTTCATGATATATTGCAAGAGCAGTAGTCAAGATTTCATGTCAATATTTGACACCATTTTTAGAATTGCTATATAGACCTGGTGTAAGGGTCGTGCCCTGGATTTTTTTTCTAACACACATCATTAAGTTTCTAATCTCTTTCATGTTACGTTTCAAGAGCAATAGTCCGAATACGATATGTTGCATTATTAAGTTTTAAAATCCCTATACAAACCTGGTGTAAGGGTCGTGCCATCCCTGTACCTACTTGGTGCAAGGGTCGTGCCTTTTTTACTAACGCATGTCATTAAGTGCATTGGTTTTTAACCCCTTTCACGATATGTTGCAAGAGCAGTAGTCAGGATACGATATGATGTATCATTAAGTTTTTAATCACTTTCACGATATGTTGTAAGAGCATATATGTTGCAGAGTAGTAGTTAAGATACGATTTGTTGTATCATTAAGTTTTTAATCACTTTCATGACATGTTGCCAGAGCAGTAGTCAGGATTTCATGCAGAATCCTTGTACAAACCTGGTGTAAGGTTTGTGCACTGGATTCTTTCTAATGCACGTCCTTAACTGCATTTTTTTTTTTTTTTTGTGCCCACCCTAGGTTTAGTTAAAATATGAACTGGTTCTTTTATTTTGAAAAACCATCAACATTCCACCCTCAGGCAATGTCTGTCCCTCAAAATTCCTCAAGTGATTTTAAGAATTATTAATTTGAGGCAGGTGCTGAAGCATATATTAATTAAAGGGCGTGAAAGTTAAAATTACTAATTCGTTACAAAATTCTTCCATACATAATGATTTTACATAAATCTTGTATGATTCTACATATTTCAATCTTTCATGCAACTAGATTTTCCAAAATTCTTCCATTAAACAAAGTCTTTAATGGAAATTATCACTCCCCTAATTTCTAACATCGTACAGTTTAGCTTCCATCATCTCAGCCTCAAATCGTAGGAAAAACTGCAATAGAAAAATATAAATATAAATTACAAGCACAAAATATAAGACACATGTAAAGGAAAGTGTTGTGTGATAAACTCCTGAGGCACAGATTTACGCCACATGTCAATCCTTTTAGGTTAACTTTATTTATAAGTTTGTCATTGTAACAATATATAAACATATTTTTTACCCAAATTAGGAATCTGAATAATCATTCATTATTGTAAGCGACACTTGTGCACAAAAAAGCAAAGAGAGCAATACAAAAACAGTGACGTGAAATTCAAGCTCAAAAATTGTAGGCACATTGAGCATTCAAACTACTTTAAAAATCTTTTTCTTTGTGTGATTACTTATTTCGATTTGCATTTATTATCCATCAATTGATCCAGCATCGACTCTTTAGGTTTCATACAAACTCCTATGTAGATTCTTCCTGAATCCTACGTACTTCTTGTTGGTGCAAATCACTGCATCAACAGAAAGAAAAATACAAAAATCAAATACTTCATCTTCATGATAAATGATGGTGCAGAGGACGGCATGGAAGAGAAAGGTCATGGACTTTGGTTGTTGATGGGCCGACATATCATCCAAGTCGTGCGGCCCAGGCCAAGATTCGGCTTGACCATGGGCAGCTCGGTCTAGATCTAGCCTGACTATGTGTGGCTCAAAGGCCATCAACCGACTGCCTAAAAGTTTTTTTTTTTTTTTATTGGTTTTTGTTTAATTGGAAAGGTTTATGAGTTCCGTGAGAGGTCAGTGATTCAGGTTTATTTAGGTTAAGAAAAAAAAATTTAACTTGTATACTAAATGCCCTTTTAGCTGTTAAGTTTAACATTTGAATTTAAAATATAAGTGTAACATTGATGCTTTTTCAAAGTGAGGTACCGCTTTGTATTTAGGCCAAAACACAAAGGGAGGATTATCCACTAACACTTTACACATACCATTCATTTTTGTAGCTAACACTAATATCATTGTTGTTGATGGTGGTGTGTCCAATGAAGGCAACCTCAATCTTAAAAATTCATTTTTAATTTTTTAATGATAGGAGTAATAATATCAATATTTGAGAATAAATGTACTTATTGTAGTTGATTCGACCAGAAATGGTAGAAAACTAGAAAAAAAAATCATATAAAATACAATTAAAACAATAATTAACTTGAAGAACTTTTTACTTTGGTAAAATGTTTTCTCACAAGTTGATCTTTTATTTTTTATCACCATAACCTACTACATTTCCAATATTTTAGTACCTTACTTAATGCTTCTAATTTTCATTTTTCCATTTGATATGATTGGCACTAATTCTTTTCTTTCAATTTGTCAGTTTTTTTCTTTTTAATTAAATGTCAGATGTTATGATCATTGATCCATATTGAACTTGGGTTTATATGTTTCAATGCCGACGTGCAGATTTAGTTTTCATGGGATATTTGAATTTCATGATTTTACCATTTCATTGCTATAATATATACTTATACTAACAAACATGTATTAAAGATAATCTTTCTATGGTTTCTAAAAGTAAGAATATACTTCAAATTAAATGTTGTCACACTTATACATGAAATTATGAAATTAAATGCAAGAAAATATAAGGGACGCACAAATTGACTCGGACACTCTGGTCATCAAAAAAAAAAAAAAAAAAATTTATAAGAGAATATGAATTTTCCTGCGTCTAGCCCGGAAACCCCCGTGATAAAAGAAAATAAAATTCCTGCTTGTCCTTGGCGAGTGGATCTCCCTTAGGTCTATGAATTGACCCTGACCTTACAATGAGAAAATGATGTTAAACATGAAAATTCTGATGCTATAAACCAGAAAAGAACTTTTATTAACTCCCAATTCTCAGTAGGCCCATCATTTGGCTTTCTGTTTCTCCAAAAGCTGGTATCACTGAGCATTTAGTTTTAAAATTCTAAAGCATTTTGTCTATCCAACCACTGCTTGTGTCAGAAAAAACTGAGCGCTGGCGGGGGCTCCAAGCTACTCAAAAGCATATGAACTTGCATGATTTAACACATTCTCATTTCTACTATGATAACTTTGCACTTAGAATGTAAATTATCAGTTTTCGATACATCAACTAAACAATCAGTTGAACCAGCCAAATGCTGATAACAAATTGATAAAAGCAGATATAAGTATGTGTTTTGTCCAAGAGAGAGATGATTGGATTCTGATGGAACCTACTCTGCAACCAAACATATAACTAAGTCGGCAAACAATTCGGAGAGTCATCGAGATCGTTTGCAAATATAATTGCAGAGTTCTCTGTCTAGTGTTTTAAAAGATAAACTAAATTCCAAGGCACCAACCTTGCTTCAGTTCTGAACTTACAATCGTCAATCATATAATTATGTGTTCCATATTATAAACCAACTGCAACCGTAAATATTCTATGTATAATATGCAATACATTGTGATAAGATTGCACAAAATATGCATTTCACTATCACTCTTGAAATGTGCAATGAAATTTCCTCTGGGTTTAAATAAATCAGATTCTGTATGTTGTACAGAAGAAGCAAATGAAAGTGGCATAGAAGGAATGCCAAATGGTCAATCATTGCAAGAGAGACAACTAAAGAGAATCATGATAAAGATATTGGTTGAACACCTTAAGACTCAAGCTGTTTGAAAATCCTAAACTGAATGACCTTTATCTTTATCATGAAGTATATATCAAATTTTGTAAGTATGGAGGATTCGGTTTACTGCATTTATTTGTTTTTAAGGTGCTTTAGGAAGCCTACCACAACCTAGTAATAGGGTATTTTGTCAGAGAGGCTAAGGAAAAATATTTAGCACACAAAACACTAGCACAGAAAATTTCTACAATTTTGGTGCTTCAATTAGTTAGCTATTCTTGTCAATTAGTATAGAGATACTTCTGATGAGGCTTTTTTACTTACAGAGTACTATGATGTTGAGTCGTTGACCTGTTCTTTAGGATTATTTATGAAAGCTTGCAAGCTTTCAAGCATATACCAAATGAAACCATCAAACTATTTTCTTTGATCTTGTAAACATATTACAAATTTTACATCCTAGAACAATGAATCAGTGTACACAGATGCAAAGACAAATTCATTACACTAAAGGGACATATTTACTACACCTGATCAATTGCTCACGTATAAATGCCTGAATCAGTCACAACTGTGGCATACGCCCCTCGTCAAAAAATTTCAAATGCCTGCAACAACAAAGTTTTAGATCAAGTTAATTCTGGCCATCTTTTTCGTTGATAAAAGGCTCAACTTCTTGAAAATCAATCACAGTAATCATTGTCGGGAAAAGAGATCTTACTGTAATGCCTTGCAATAATACAAATTAGTTGGATCCCAATGCAAGCAGATTTTTCCAAACCCAGCTACAAAACATTCTCCATGAACAGTTTCCAATAGAAAATTGAAAAAGCGTTATCCGTTACATCATCAAAAGTACTAAGAAAAGATATAAGGCAAAACAAATTGGTAAACTTATAGTTGCATGTACTATAACTCAATCACATTGTTTATAAAAATAATCACCGGAAGTATTTGTTGACAATCAATAATGAAAATTACATTTCTATTCATTCTTCCAAGCATACAACAACAATGAAAAACCAAGACCTTGTAATTGGTTATCTCTAAGTCGCTGAGAATAAGACCAGGTCAATAAAGAAGGATCAAAAATAGATTGGCTTGCCCAATACTTCTCAGCAGAAAGACAAGTTTGGAACATGAAAACTGCATTGCCCATGGCATTACCAAATAGCCAATTGTGGACATCCCAAAATACTTCAACCGGGAGCCCATCAACCAGAATAGTGTAATTACCACGGAACTTCCACTTCAGCCTCTTGACTTGCATCACCGTCTTACTATCAATGCGAATCACAAGGCAAGGATCCTGAACATCAATAGTATCACACTCAATTGTGACATCATGCATCTGCCCCTTATCACAAAACTGAGCTTTGGCACCATAAAACTTCTTGCCAAAAATGTGCTCTCTCTTGGCAATAAAAATGGAATTTAAATTAACAGGGGCAGTATCAACCTTCCTGTATGCTTCCTTTTTCAAATCTCCAAGAAGTAACACCATTTCTTGGTTATATGCAACAGCTAAATAATATCCCTCTACAGGCTCAGGCCCAGGACCAAATCTAGCACTAGACAAGTCCCAATATATATCAATTTTATTAGAATCTACCTCTAAATTTTTAGACCCTTTTCTCTTGGAGAACAACCATGGTTTTATCTCAACTTTACAGAGGCATTGATTGGTTGAATCATCAATTGAAACGCTAAGGCCTTGACCCATGAGATTCTTCGTCCATGTTACAGTAACCAAGAAACAACGACCATGGAATTTACACTGATAAACACAAGTAACCAAATTTTGAGAAGCTTTTGTTGCACTTGATGATGATGAATCAGCAACTTGAACTCCATTTTCACCAAAACAAGAAGGAAAGTCCCTCATGATACACCAAAAAGTATAATTTTTTTCCTTTTTACTGACCGGTAAGATACCGTTTCTTCACCAGATCAAAAGAATGAACAAAGCCACAAACTTGATATACAGAGAACAATAGTAACAATAAACACTCTTCTACCTCAGTCAATTGAAGATGAAATTAAGAACCCATCACCCAAGTGCTTCAAGATCAGCTTCCCAATGCTTCAATCTGACCTGGGTTGTGTCGTGTCTGGCTTTTGAACCTTACAGTTGCATATGAAAAAGAGTAAAAGACAGAGAAATAAAAGAGAGGGCTTAGATTTGCTTCACTGTCAATGTCTCTGAGCTATATGTCCATGTCAAAAACAACCAAACCAAAAACCATTAAAAAAGAAAAAACAAGAAAACAAAAGATAATGTTACAGAAACAGAAAGAAATGGAAAATTGGTCACAGGATTTAGAGAGACAGAGAACTGAAATCACATGGTCAAGTGAAGACGAAACAGATGGATGAGATGAGACTAAATATCCAGAAAACCATAACCGATTATCATTAATATTATTAGCTGGAAAAAGGCTGGTTTCTTATTCTACGTTACACTAAAGAAAAGCAAAAGGGTATCTCACTCACACATAAAAAAATATTATTATTTTTTTGTCCATAATTAGCAGAATCATTATGGGCTAACCTTTAACTGACATTAACACATGCAATTGGCACAAAAATCCAAAGCTTAAACAGTAATGAAATTTAAGTGAGACAAATATAATAATTACAGGGAGAAGAAAAACGATTTAAAGAGAAAAATAAAAGGCAAAGTAAGATCTGTCATGCTTTTCTCGCACTAGATTGCAACAGTTTCCTGCCATTATTTTCATTTGCATTTCAAGATTTCATTATCTAACATGATTAACCAAAGGGGGTGTTTTCGTTTCTCTTCGTTTAAGAAATGGGAAATTACACAACAATAATTATTATGAAGATAAAGGATGATGNTTTATTTTTTTGTCCATAATTAGCAGAATCATTATGGGCTAACCTTTAACTGACATTAACACATGCAATTGGCACAAAAATCCAAAGCTTAAACAGTAATGAAATTTAAGTGAGACAAATATAATAATTACAGGGAGAAGAAAAACGATTTAAAGAGAAAAATAAAAGGCAAAGTAAGATCTGTCATGCTTTTCTCGCACTAGATTGCAACAGTTTCCTGCCATTATTTTCATTTGCATTTCAAGATTTCATTATCTAACATGATTAACCAAAGGGGGTGTTTTCGTTTCTCTTCGTTTAAGAAATGGGAAATTACACAACAATAATTATTATGAAGATAAAGGATGATGTTGAATGAAACAATATGATGGTTTTTATGTCTGTCACATCATATCAAAACAGTTCGCTTAAGATTTTTCTCTGTTTTTTTTTTTTTTTAATTAATAAATGAAAACTACTACTCTTGACCATGTTGTAACGTGATTGTGAAATATACTTATATTATTGGTTCGAATTGCCAAAACAAATTTTTCTTTCAGTCTATCCTTTTTCCATAATGCTTTGAGTTACCGATTAAACTACCGATTTAACATACTGATTGAGTTAAATTTTAAGATTTGGGTAATTAGGTAGGTGAGTCGATATATGAAAATCGGTAGCTTAATCGATAAGTATAGTATTACTGATCCTTTTTAGAGTAAACGACATGTTCCCACGCAAGCTTTGGCAAGATAGCAAGTTTTCAACCCTAGTTTTAGTCAAATAACTATTTTATCCTTTAACTGCTACATTTAATGATTTTATGTTAATTTAAAGATGAAAATTTTGAATTTATTAAACAAATGATGCACCCTTGTTATTTCATCAAGAAAAAAATAATATACTACATGTTTGGCTTAGTATTTTTATCTATATTCTGGATCCTATTCTCCAAATAATGTTTGGTACATTATTCCAGAAATATTACCCTATTTTTTTAATGACTTTTAGACCCCATAAAGTTATTAATTTCACTAAATACCCCCTGAAAAAAGTTTAAAAATTAACAAAAACACCCCATCAACCCAACTTGTCAGATTCCGGCAACCACCATCGGTGATAGCCGGAATCTGACAAGTTGGGTTGATGGGGTGTTTTTGTTAATTTTTAAAGTGATAGCCGGAATCTGTACAACGGCCTAACTTCCGACCAGAAATGGCCGGAATTTCACCGATGTGGCCTTTTCCGGCCAGATCCACCACAGATCTGGCCGGAAAAGGACAGATCTAGTCATCGTTGACCGAAAACGACGGCCAAATCTTGGCCGTCATTGACCGAAAATGACGGCCACATCTTTGGCCGTCGACGACCATAACAGACTGTAGATCTGGCATTTTTCGGCCAGATCCACCATGGATCTGGCCAGAAAAGGCCATAACGACGTGTTACGACACAGATCCGACCGGTCTGTGTCGTAATGAAATTTTTCGGCCAGATTCCGGCGGTGGTGGCCGGAATCTGGCACTGCAGGTGGTGGGGGTGTTTTTGTTATTTTATATGGTAGGGTCTTTAATTAAATTAGTAAACCTAAGGGCTTTTTCATAAATTTTTAAAATTTACCTCGTAATACTCTCCTATCCAATAACCCAATACTATCTCCAAAATCCTATCCAAAATACTAAACCAAACGCACCCTATTATCAAAAAAATGTACATCAAATTTATACATTTAAAAAATATATATATATATAATATACATAAATTATATGCACATTCTTTAGTAACTATAACACTGCTCTTGGACCAATCCTTGTGTGGGAACATGGTTTTTACTCACCCTTTTTACTATTCATGAGTTGTGATTTGTTGCACTTTTCTTTACACGTTTCACGATAATCATGTCTATGCTGTTCAAGAGAAACTCGTGGGCTTCAAAATTAGTCAATTTTCAGGGTTTTTCAATCAATTCCCAAATATGAGAGGCAAGGAAAATGTTTTTTTGACATAGAACGAGCGCTAATGTAGCATGTTTTTATTAGTTGATTATATGTAAATCTGTTAAAGAAAAGAGTTTTTTTTTTTTAATATATTTTACAAATATTACATTTATAAATATCATATGCGTTAATATAAAACATTTTCATTGATTAGTTATACATGCAACGATAGAACAAAAGAGTTTCTCGACTCTTGAAGAAGAAGAAACAACCAATAAAACCCCTAGAGGTTGATTTGACAGTCAAGAAAGTTTGCTCCTTTTATTGTTCTTATGTTCGAACCACGTTGGGGTTACCTATTATAATTTGTAACTTACCTTAAAACATTAGGTATGTAAGGTGTTCAATAGATTCCGAATATTAGTTGGGGTGTATACAAACTAACTCAAACATCTCGGTCATTAAAAAAAAAAAAAAAAAAAAAGCAACCAACCATGAAATGTTGCACTCAAAATCTCAAATCACTACTTGATTAAACCTCATCAACCTTCACATGATTAATCTTCACAATCATAAAGGAAACATGATTAAGAATAATTAAATGTAGATTATAAGATATAATGAGCCACATTGGTAAGTGAAAGTGGGAAAATATAAATGATATGGTCACATGGGATGAAATTAAAAATAAATGTGCTGGTTGATATTTATATTAGAGTTCACGATTTTTCTTACCCAAATAATGGCTTTTTAACACTTTCCCACCCACAGACTTTTGAAAAACCATTTTACTATCCAAATTTATATTCTATTTTTTATTTGGGTATTGTTGCGACCCCATACCACTACCATTCTCTTCTCTAATCATCACTCACCAAAACCCCTCAAACCCTACTCCCGTTGACCCCACAAATTACCAACAATCGAGCGATTAGAGTTTGCGTAACCCCCCCTCCCAAGTCAAATTTCGATCAATCCCAACCACCAAAATCCAACCTTTCATCACCAAAAGAGTTATCGGCCTTCTCTCTACAAAAGTCCCAATAACCTAGACCAAGTTTGCTCTTTGTTTGCCGTCAGAATATAAATTTGAGTAATAAAGTGATATTTTAAAAGCTTGTAGGTGGAAAAGTGTCATTAAGTCATTATTTGGGTGGGAAAAGATTGTTTACTTTTTCTTTTAAGTGGGAAAACTAGAAATGGGTTTGAGTGATAAAAAACATAACATTGAGTAAGCATGTGGCATGCCTCATGGGTGGACCCTTTTGGTTGGCTGGTTGGTCCGCCGGAGCAAATTGAGCACCTGCGAATTGGTGGGCAAAATCTTTGTGCCCCCACACAAAAAAAGCCTATTATTTGAATTGACCATCATCTTCTATTTCTGATTCATTATTATTATTATTATTTTATATTTAAATGTCTTTGCCCCACCATCAAGCAATGGCTAACTAATTCATTGAACTTGTAATGGATTGTGTTTGGCCCTACTTTCTAGATTTAATTAATTAAGATGCATTTTCTTGGTTAGGTTTTAAGCCAAAATTCTACCATTTTTCTTTTCTCATTCATTATAGTAGGCATAGCCATGTGAATGAATGACTATAGCATTTGAAATTTATCAATCAGAATCAACAAGATTATAGAAGACTTCCCAGTTGAGAAATGAATTTGGGATACAAACATCTCTAATTATGGATCTAATCCTGAAGGGTTAACGATGATTTGATGTATTACAAATCAGAGGTTGAGCGTTTATCAATTATCTAAAAAAAAATATCTATTAAATGATATAATTTACTTATCTTTAAAATCTCAAAACTTAACTTATTTTCATCTTACGTGGAATCACAACATTCATCTCCGCTTAATCTATTTATCTTTATAATTCTCATACTTAACTCATTTTCATCCGACCTGAAACCACAATATCCACCTCCACTTATTCATACGATTTTCTTCTCAATCCTAATTTATTTTTATTTAATAAGAAATTATAACAAACGTTATAGATGACATGATACTTCTCACCTAATTTGGATAAAGAGGATAAGTACACATATCAACATCTTTAATGGGGCAGCAGGCACAATCAGACTCTTTGATGGTGTGGCTATAATGGGGAGCAAATAACCAAAAGCTCATTCAAATTCTTAAAGTCGTACCTGAAACTTTGTATATGTGCGAATCAGTCAAAAGTAATTTTCACATTCAGCATTTAGTGGCCTGCCTGTAGCCCATGTTTGGCTTTATTGACTCTCCAGGCTTACCAGATAAATGCCTAATAAAAACTTAGAAATGAGGAATTTCCCATATCAAATATGACAGTTAAATTATATGGCAAACATCATTGATGATCAGAGGACAATAAAAAATTTTCAGTCTTGGTGAGGAAGTCTGTTGAAACTGTATTGCCGATCCTTCTGTTCTGGCTGGCCTAACATTTATATGAAGTTGCAAGAATGCTGACTATTCTGAAAAGCAAAAGCACAAGAATCTTCTTCTTCATCTCATTTACTAGATACTGTGAAAGTGTAAAAAGATTTGAGGTGGGTGTTGATGCAACGAAGGAAAGTAGCTTTATGCCTTTTGACTTTGTTTTTTATCTCGACAATTGCACAAATAGATTTCAAACCCATTTTGCTAAATCATAATTAATGGCAGATTAAAGATAATAACCTTTTCCAACATGTTACCCTTCTTCCCATGTGCTGAACGCTCCAAGTCTTAGAAGGGCACATGCCCTCCGCCTCTGCTAATGTTAACATCAATATGCATATCATACACGTTATGTATTTGACAAACCAAATCCTAAATCATCTTCTTTAAGTCTAAGTGATTAATATTGTTTCTCACTTTTGCACAAGATTTTCTTATCTTCCTCTTTCTAAGCTAGTTTTGAGATGGGGTTAATTTGTTTAGAAGCAAAATGTTATTATAAGTAATCTAAGATGATGATTATCAACCCCCATAAAGGAGAAAATGAAAGAAACAAGAAATGAACTCTCACCCACCTTTGGGTCCTTCCAATCTTTGGCTTCTGAGAGCAACAAAACCTAAATATAACAATTATCATACCTCTCAAAGCATGTCATGGTCTTGAGAAACATCATCATATAGCTCTACTCAATTGGAGAAAATGGAAGTCAAAAAGTTCAAAGATATTCTCATGTGAGATCTCTTATATTATAATGCCTGGCCTGTGCAGCAATAATAACCATCTTAACAATGTCAAATAACAACCCTTAAATTTTGTCTACTGCAACCTTTTATGAATGCAATGTCATACAGCTAACACAATCTTTTGGGTTGTTTTAGGGAAAGTGGGAAACTATTAATTGGTGTATAAATCTGGCCAATGTCTCCTACACTAAAGGTGTATCAATCTGGGTACTGTCCCAGAGAAAAGCTCATATCCTTTGATATTTTGCCTATAATGCCTTCAAGTTCGATTTTACGAATGAAACAACGAATACGGAAACCTTTGATAGCCATTTTGTCTTTGTTATAGTCGATTGAATGATGAACAAGCTTCCTATTTGGGCACTAGCACTTCTAAATTCGTAAGTTAAAGACAAAGTTCAGACACATAATTGGTTTTGGGATTTATAGTATACTTAGTTTTAAAAAGTATCATCATTCGATGGTTGTAAAAGTGAGAGCAACAATTCTATAGCAGTTCATTTCACAAGGTTTTGAAAAGTCTTAACCCCTACGCTTTTCATCATAGAAACATGAAATTCAAATACCCAAGTTTGCAAAGCTTAAACCGTAGCTAGCTGGGGCAAACTTGACAACTTAGAAATTCATAACTGAAAATAATGCAAAAGCTCCCCCAACTGTGGCTCTGGGGTTCTCTGGAGTCACGATATATAGTATGCGCCTTTGTGCTTGCTCTGCTTTGTGCTGGCAACTTAAATTAAAAGAACAGCAACCGAAGTGAAAGCTGAATTATAGGAATACATTCAAATGTCATCTGGACCTACATTACAAGGAAAGCATGATATGAGAACAGCCTATACTTAGCAATTGGCGAGTTGTAAAACCAGAGCTAGGTACTGAAAATTACTGTAATTGCATCACAACAGTTACGAAAAAGCACACCCATGTTCACAGTATGACTCAGCCAAAAATCTAAGCGCAACATGAATTCATTTTCTTTATGCAAATAGCAGACATGGATATTCAGAAGCAAAGGAATTCTGAGATTTGGCACTTCAATAATGATGTGTCACTTAATAGCACTGTTGTCCGTAAGTTTATTGTGGGTTGTATACTGATCACATAAAACATCTAAATGAGGGAAAAGAAATACTAGCAGAAATTCTAGTTTTACACTATCACATCCGATGCAACAGAGATGATAAAAAATCATGGAACGGAGCAGGGGATCATAATGGCAAAGAAGCAATAACATTAATGATGTTCAAATGTTTGACTTGTTTAAGGCAGACATTGAGACTCTTGTACAAAGCAGTGTTAAGGAAAAACAAAAACCATACAGTAATACTGTACTAGAGAAATACAAAACATGAAGGATGAAGGTTAAAGAATTCTAAGGGTTTATTGGTGTTCAATTAATAAAAATCTAGAATATTAAGATTATGATATATTCATAAAGATTAAATGAAATTTTAACAATGTAATATAATCCAACTGATGAAACCAACAACAAAGCCACATAAAACAAGATTTCGAAAGAGTGAGTCTTTATTCCTTTTTGTAGTTCAAAGTTACAGCTGCAATGAGGAAAAACTTCATTCAACAATTTGATCAACAACAATAACCATATGAAACAAAATTACATAACAACAATCACCTTTTCTTATTAATTTTTGGTTAAGACACAGTAATTCACACCCATTTTAATTAAACAAGGTGGTCAGACAAAAACAAAATATGTCTTCAGGACAATCTTCAGCAAGCTATTCCTAAGGACAGACTCACCTTGTTATGAAACGAAGATAATGTCTACTTAAACTTGTCCTCTGGGTCAAAATAAAGTTCTGATATAATGTGCCAAATGATTTAAGATGACACATCTACATTTCCAGCAATAATCACTATGTCCACAGCAGGAAACCTGAAATGCATTTAACATGTAACTGACTAGACAAAAGGAAAAAGTGTACACGTAAGTAACATAATTTATTTAATAAGTAACTACCCACTGACAGCTGCACAAGGAGCAGGTTATCTTTAAGAAAAATTGTGAATAGTAAACATATATGTGAGACTAAATTTTTTTTTTGGCATGACTTCTTCAATTAATACTTCTTCAATTAAAGCTTATAGAATTAGAGTGTGGTGAAATATAAGTTGAAAAAAAGAATTTTTATAAAACAAGTTGGTGGTTCTTTGGTTATGAAGATGGCAAAAAGTTTTCTACTAAAAATTTACCAAAAAGAGTTTTATTATAAATAAAAAGAGTAAAATTTCTAAAATACCATGCATAATTTTGACATTTTAAATAAGATTAAAAAATTAGAATCCTCAAAAAGCTCTGACAGAGCCAAATTTTGAGCTTCTCCCCAAAGCCAAAACAATCTTATTAGTTATTCGTAAATTCTTCCAAAGTTCCGACAAAGCAACATAAAGATGAATAAGTAAATAAACAAACTTTCAACATTATAAAAGCTATCTGTAAGCTCTGAGGCTGATATTCTAGTGTTTCATGCTATAAACAGAGGTTGACCAAAATTATCAGCCAATACAAGCATAAAAGATTCAATACTTTATGCTCTAACTTTATACCAAATCCATCACCAACTATTCTCTTAGAAGTCCCTCAACCTTGACTCAAGCGGAAAAAGGAATGGTGAAGTGAGGTTAGCTCCTACGGAAAATATCTAGCTCAAAGATCAAAAGTTTACTAACCTACACAGTAGAATAATAGGAATTTCAGAAACAATAAGAGTTAAGAACACACATGCGCACAAGCTAAGACCTTGAAATTAAACCAAAAAAAAAAAGTTCAAACATATTTTTCCTATTTCCCAAAACCAAAGAAGTTTAAGTTAAAGGTCCTGCCCACCCAGTAAGAGTTACGAAAACAAATAGTCAACTACGAAATGCTTAAGCAACCACATCCATAAGCTAACCATGGAAAAAAGAGAGACAATAGCAAAAAAATTCTCTTTAACTATAAGGGCCTTAAGAGCACTTTCTCTGAACAAATAAAGGTCCCAGTAGTGTCTTCAAAATTATATTTCTGCATTAAATGAATTACAAAGGAGCTTTATCTCCCACAATACATCTTACACAATTTCTTATTTCATGGTTGAATAAACTACAAAAGATTTACTTACCCAAAAAAAATAAACTACAAAAGATTTTATAAAGTGAAAAATCTCTGCAAGTGCCTATATATTATTTGGCATAATGACATTTTCTGACTTTTCATTTACAAAAAAGTTTTAGTTAGAAATCTGCTTTCCAAATAGAGTGTCAGGCCATCTCCGAGCTATATATAATACAAATGAAAATCAACAGAAATGCACACCAGATAAACTAGCTGAGATAGTAAATGTTTATTTGAAAGAGAAATGAAGGTTAACAAGCCCATCTATCTAGTTATAAAATTTGCATCAAATTATCTCAACACTATCCATGCTATGGACGAAATAAAGCAACAACTGAGTGAATACAGAACATACATGCGCATCAAGTTTCTTCACCATCTTTTGTAGCAAAAGGATCGTGGGTAGGACCAACATCCTGCCCAATGTGACGCTGCACCAGTCGCTGCAAATCAGCCATAACCTTATGCTCACGTTTCGCCTTCTCCTCATAGTTAAACATGGCCAATGCTCGCTTGTCCTCTGCACTATAAACCTGGTTTTCCTTCCTAATACGAATAGCATTCATCCTCTGGTGCCTACTACCACTCATCACATACCCAAGACTCTCAAACTTCTGAATTTCATCCGCAGACAGACCGACTTCACCTCTTCGTGGAATACGCTTCCCTTGCTGTACATACTGAGCAATGGCATCACCTTCTCCAGGCCTAAGCGCACCACCATAACTAATATGCCCTTCAGCTCTAGGCAATGGCATTGGACCAACCACTGGTTCCTCGTCGTCTAAAGCAGGTTTCTTCTGAGATTCGATCATTTCTTTAAACTTAAGTACCTCAGCATTGATTTCAGCCTGCTTGGCCTCATCCACTATCTCCTTATCTGAATTCTCATCACTCTCAGTTTCAGATTTCAGCTCTTTCTTACTCCGTTTCGACCTTGAATTCGAAGAAAGCTTCTTCTTTAATTTATCATTATCATCATCTGATGACTGACTGGCATCAGATTCATCAGTTTTGCTCTTATCACTCTTGCTCTCATCCGAATCACTATACTTGCTTTTTCTTCTACTTCTATTTCTTTTACTGCTGCTTCTTCCCCTCATACCACTCCTATGTGGCCTATTTCGTCTCTTCCTTCCTTTTCTATCTTCTTCCTCTTCAGAATCACTGACATCATCTTCCAACTCACTGTACTTCCTACTTTTACGCCTAGAACTCCTGCTCTTTCTCTTCTTCTTCCCAGACCTTGAATCATCAGATTCAGAATTGGAATCAGAATCAAACTCACTGCTCTCCGATTCCTCAGCCTTGGATTTATTCTTTCTCCCCTTCTTCTTAGCCCGTAAATCGTCGGATTCAGATTCAGAACTACCCGATTTTCCAGACTCAATTTTCCCATTCTCTTCATTACCTCCGAATTTATCAGAAATCTCGTCAGGATTTTCATCCTCCAAATCATCATTCTCATTCCTCGGCGGACTCGGCGTCGCACTCCAAAAACAGTGTTTCATGGATTTACGCATCTTCTGCCTCTTTTGCCATCGGTACTCCATGTAGCTCAGCCCCTTCAATTCCTCATCAGATTCCGATGCCGAATCATATCCGTTCCGATAATCCCGATTGCTCTTCCCAAATCTTTTCGGCAAGGAGTTTAGGGTTTGCTGGTAGTTGCCTTCGGGACTTCTTCTTCTTCTAGAGCTACGATATTTTGGCGAATATGAGCGGGAACGAGAACGAGAACGGGAACTGGAACGGTAACGGGAACGGCGGCGGTAATCGACGGAATTGTCCATGACTCCAATTGGACAATAGCTGGCTCCGAAATTGCTAAACCAACAGAGGAATTATGAATGCTCCTGATTCACGAAGTTGAGGGTCGGTCAACTATTTTGTTTTTTAGAAGACCAAAATTTTAAAATATATGGGCCTGAAAGGCCCAATAAGTCCAAAGGCACTCTGGACAGACGAGATAGGTGTACTTAATATTCTAAGTAGACCCACTGTTTTTATACAGTAGACACTAGTCTTTCCATTGTCACTGTTAAATGTCAGGTGTACTTAGCAATACCTTTTCCTTTATGCTGTTTAAAAGAGAAAAAAGAAGAGGAAACATGCATTTCTCTTATCTTGTGCACAACTCATAAACAGTTAATTAGATTTAAGTATTTAACATTAATTTCTTAAATGCATTAATCCATTATCTAAACACTAAATCAACATTTGAAGAAATATTAGACTCTTAATTACAACATTTTAATGGTTGACAATTTTACACATGCTAAATCTATATATAAAGCAAAGAGTAATGAGTAATTATATTATCTTATAAACTAGGGTTAAATATTATACCCGGCATGATATAATAACAAAAATCTCTTTACATTAATGAATTATTAGTGAACCTTTAAAATTTACAATATTATGAGTTAGTAAATACTATAAAATTGCCCTCTATGGTTTATTTTAAGTTTTTAACATCTAAAACTTAACGATTAGGGAATTTTTTTAATTATCATACCTTAGGTGAATAACGTTATTAACTTTATAAATTAACAATAATACTGTGATGAAACATACTTTTCCACTGAGTAAAAATTAACTTGAAGCAAATGCATTTAACGCCACTTCAGATACAAAAACGCAACGTTTTACCAAATTACAACACATCTAATTCAATTATATATAAATATTTTTTCAACCTAAGTTTATGAGAAAAGCTAGATTACAATTTCCAGAATGCAAATTACCCAATAATTTTCTCACAAAGCATGTTTCTTAATTAAGTATATTATATCATAACATTTATATAAAACATTTTGGTATATTTTGCTTTATGGATAATTTCCGTCTGGTTCTAGCTTTGTTTTCATTCCAAAATTTACATCTTGAAAATACCAAATCACCAACACTAAAAGCTAGCTGTTTCCTGTAGTTGAACTTGCACAATCATAGATTCACAGGGCTAATATGCATGTTAACAAACCAATTATAAATAAATTATAGTATGTAATCATTTATATTAATTTTAATTAATTCTCAAAATGTTAACGTTTTATTGATTAAAAAACCAATTATAAAGAAATTTCAGCATATCATCTTCACTAATTTTAATTCCCAAAATATCAACGTCTTATTTAAAAGATAGATTTAGCCATAAAATCATGTAACTTAATCTAATTTACTTTATCCTTAGCAAAAAAATTTTAAAACTAGTGAGTAGTGACCAATTGTTATCTTTTTTTTTTTTTTTTTTTTTAAACTAAGGTGTTCAAGCCAGCTTATACACATTTCGATTAATCATCCGAAGAGACTAGTACAACAATCCACTGTCACGACCTCCTAATTTAAACTTTGGGAGTAAGGAGATTCAAATCCCTGTGCTTTAATCGCACATCCCAACATTTGTCCTACCACTTACCCAATTATTATCCTTTTTGTTGTACATTAAAATGCAACCCAAAGGTCAAAACCTAGTATTGAGTTCACAAAATACAAAATCAAAACTAGTGGTCCATCATTATCCTTTGGTATACATATTAAAAACTTTATAACATATGTACCAGAATATATATATATATATCCAAAGGTGATCTGGACTTGATTAATGCAACTTTTTCTCAATTTTTTTTTCCAACTTTTAAATAAATATTAACATGTAGGGACAATCCAAGAAAAAGAAAATTAAACCAACTACTTAGAAAATAATATTTATAGGACTACCCACCTTACTTTTTAAAGGTAAAGTGCCCAAGTGAAATAGCTAGCAGATAATGTTAATAATTTGTAATATATATATATAGAAATATGTTTCATTTTCCTATTGCTTGATTTGTCGTTGAAGTGGGTGAGAAATCAAGTACTAATAGTACTGGTAGCGTAGTGAAGAAACTTTATAAATCTTCAGGCACAAGTGATTCTACTGGGGATACTAAAGAGATGAAAAGAGTGTGACAAAGACATAGCACCAAGAGGAAATTAATCTTGCATGATTGCCCTGAAAGAGAAAAGAAATATTGAAGGGACAGTAAGATACAAGTCTCTAAGCAAATTATGTTTAAACTCCCTCTCTATTTTCTTCCAACCTTTCACCTACCATGAACCAAGCACTCTTCTCCAAATGGGGTGGCTTCACTCCCTCATCTCTCCTCTCAAGAAACTCTGGGATCGCCTGCATTCCTCCCACAGGAAACGTATCTTATAAATCTAATCTCCATTATCATCATCATCTTCCTCAAAAGCTTAATTATTAATTCAATAAAAGTTTTTTTTGTCATCATCTGTGTTTTGCAGGTAGTGGGATATATATCCTCTATAAGGATGTAAAGGCTTGCCCCTGCGAAGATGTACAGGTTTTGTGGTCAATATTGGTGGATTCACATCCGGCTGATGTTTGACAATCGCCATTAAAATGATGAACGTACCCAGATTTACAATGTTATCTCTTTGTAGATATGTATTATTATATATTCACTACATTATGCTGTGATTAGATATTAATCCAGCTTCTGCATCTTAAATATCTTCTCTGCTATCTGCTGTAACTAGATCATTTTGTCATATCCCGTATATAGGACATTAATGATGGTTTTGTTTAGTTGCCTTCTTGCAATGCATCGCATGGCATGCCTGCAAATTTGTTGATATTTATTTCATATTTTATCTGTAAAAGAATCATGTAGTGCTTCTTAATTACTCCAACAACTTACTTTTAAAGAAAGCAGTAGTTTTGAGTTCAAAAAGAGATCAGCTGCATGCAGCACCCTCTGGCATTTCCAGAATTAATGTCTATGAATTATGGGGAATCGGAGAGGATCAATTGATGATTCATCTTCAGGTTTTCTTTAGACCCTTAATTATTTACTTAATCTTTGTCATTATTTAAGCATTAAAGTATAAGTAAAATGCACTTTTTCAGATGAAATTCCACATCCGAAACTGAACTGACAAGAAACCAGCATTCTTGATGGTAATTCTAATCCCACCAGCCTTGAATTATTTAATTCAAACCTTGCTGATCACCCCTTCCAATTCCCTATATTTTGCTTGTAATTATTTATCCGCCATATGAATAAAATTTAATTGATTTTTTTTCATTTATTTTACATAAAATTTATCTATATTACAACTTTAAATTTTATTTCTTAATATTCAGCTCAACTCTAGTCGAAGTTAAAATAATAAAAAAAAAGAATTTAATATGATTCAATTCTTTATTATTTTAATTAGGTCCATATATTCACACCAATATACAACCGGGGAAAAAGCATTAGTATTTCTTTTGATTTCGCCAAATATTTTAATTTTAATTTCTATACCAATAATTTATGAACCCGTGTTTAATTATAATCACGATCATTCTCTCATCTTTGATTTTGACTAAGGAAATGCATGATAATAATTAATGGATAATAAAAAAATAAAAACAAGAAACAAATATCAATTTTGATATAAATGATGAATTTTGAAACAAAATAATTCAAGCATGTGATAAAATTATACTTATCAAATCAGAATTTTTTTTTTTTTTTAATAAGGTTTCACATGTTATTTATTTTAAAAATGTTAAACTTATCCTAGAAGGATTTTTGTTATTTTAAAAAATTTTAAAGAATTTTTATTATTCAATCAAAATGTTACATTATTGTTGTTAACACAAACTAAGATACATCCGAAGCTGAAGGTTTTTTTTTTTGTTTTTTTTTTAAACTGAAATACACTTATCATACCTCATCCAAATAATACATACTTATCAATAATTTAAATTGAATCAATACAACAATTATAAAATCAGATATTAACGGATAAAATATTTACATGGTTTATCTTAGACTCTTAAAAAAATTTTTCGAAGTATGCAAATACAAACTCATTTAATTTATTATATTCTACTACACTAAAATTATTGATATAAATTATAAATAACTGAATCATTATCCTAATTAAAACATTAAAAGATGCTATATATATATTATATATATTATATACTATATTATATATATATATATAGGATTAACTTAATTTTGCTGACCATTTCAATTATGAACCCTATAAAACTTACTCACCCACGTTAACTGCATTCGGTTTTGGCGCAAGCAACAGAAGATAGCGAAGCTAGAGAGGGTGAGATACTGTGTAACTGTAAGCATCACATTATCTTTACTATTTTGGTGTTTTATTATGATCTTATTATATCTCTAATCTTCGTCTCATTCTCATCTTTGTTTCGTTTTGAAAGAGCAATGGCAGATAGCAAGGCAGTGACAATACGCACAAGAAAGTTCATGACGAACCGTCTTCTTTCAAGAAAACAATTCGTGAGTCTTCTTCCACCATCAAATTCTCTCAATCTGTGTTGTTGTTGTTGTTGATGGATTCGGTTTCATTTGGCTTTTGTGTTAATGTAGGTCGTTGATGTTTTGCATCCGGGAAGACCAAATGTTTCAAAGGTTTGCCCTTTTTCTCTACTCGTTTTAACACAGTCGAAAGTTTTTCCAGGTTTTGTTTGCTTGGTATGTGGAATTATTCACTGTACTGAGTTTGTTTTATTTTTTATTTTTGAATTACTTATTCAAAAGGCAGAGTTGAAGGAGAAGTTGGCCAGGATGTATGATGTGAGGGATCCAAATGCCATTTTCGTATTCAAGTTCAGAACCCATTTTGGTGGTGGGAAATCTACTGGATTTGGTTTGATTTATGATTCTATTGAGAATGCTAAAAAGTATGAGCCAAAGTATAGGCTAATCAGGGTAAGTTTTTTTTACTGATAATTAATATTGAGTTCATGGTTACAACATCAATTACTTGTTTTTGTGTTTACACTGGGCTTCATTAAATGTAGCTAGTTCAATTTTGGTGTTGTTCTTGCATCAACATCAACCTAATGAATGAATTCATTGTATCATCACTTCGATGATTCAAATTGTGTTTGATTTTGCATATGAGAATTTCAGATTTTCTTATAAATTCTGATTGTCTTTATTAGTAGTTTAAGTTGCTTGTGTTTCGTTGGATACATGAGTCTGGTGGTCTTGGCGTAAGGCCCCATCCATGTTTTTCCCTAATGCAGTTCTCCTTCATGTGATGCAATAAATGTAAAATTGAGCATTATGATTAGACTAAGCGTAGTTATGGTATCTTTCTTGAACTTTGCTTTAGTCGAGCAATTAGATTTGTGGTTTACTCCCACAAGATCATGGTTAAAGACTATTGTTTCTCACCTGCCAAAGATTGTAGGGTTCAGTCAAGTTTCAATTACGAACTTGACTTTGCAAAGTGAATTCAGGAGATTTTCAGATTATAAATATAGGTCAAAGCATGGGTCAAAGGATAATGCTACATAAAATGTGCGTAGTTTGCATGGCATGTGTACGTAAGAGGCATTGGGCACACACTTATACAAGTAAACTCTTTCTCAACATAATTTGTGCAGAACGGGATGGACAAGAAGGTAGAGAAATCAAGGAAGCAAATGAAGGAAAGGAAGAACAGAGCTAAGAAGATACGTGGAGTAAAGAAGGTAGAGAATCAATTTCCTCTAGGCTCCTTTATTTATTTATTTAATAATTAATGATTGACAATTTAATTCCTGCAATTGTCAATTGTGCAGGTCAAGGCTAGTGAAACTAAGAGTGGAAAGAAAAAGTGAAGTTTTAGAGGGATTCTCATGATTCTTCCATGCCTAAACACAAGTTCCTTCTTGTCTACACCTTTCTCCTCCATTAATTTTTATTTATTGTTTCTTAGCTATCAATTTCTCTTCCATAGCTATTCTTGTAGTGAAAAAACATGTTTTCCAGCATAATAAATTCCTCATTTGACTTGCTATTTTATCAAAGGTGGCAATATGATTTGTTAATTCAATATGCCTGGTTATGGCAAATGGATTTGAAAACTCTATCGTTAAGTAGTTCGACATTTCGCTTACGACTATTGTGTGTATTATTTAAGTTCGAATCTTCATGACTATTAATAAATGATAGCCATTAGAGGTTTACCTGTTAACTTCAAGGGTCCGCAGAACTAGTTGAGGTGTGTGGCTCGAACACTATTGGATACCAGAAAAAAAAAAAAAAAATGGTTGCAAAATTCCTTTCGTCCAAAGTAATTCTCTTCCAATGCCAATGCACAATAACTCCTGGAAAGCCGAAAGCTTGCAGAATGTGGTTGTTTAATTCCATTCAGTCTTTTACATTGGAAAATACTGGACGTATGCCTTCCCTTTTTGCCTTTTTGGGTTATTCCAGTTATTTCATGAGGAAGAACAAATAACTAAAAATGAAACTTAATTAATTACAATAATGCAATTAATATTTTATAAAAAAAGGATAAAAAATTATTTAAAAATATAAGTAGAAACTTTTTATACAAATTCTAATGTATTTTAAATTTATCAGATGATTTTAAATTAAAAATAGAATAAATGTAATATGGGTGAGTATGCCTTTTATTATTAATTTATTATGGTGGAGTAAACCTTTTAATAATTTTGAAAAGGTTTAAATCAAGTAATGATACGGCGCCGTTGGAGGATGAAAGTATGATTTTTTAATTTTGGCAAAAATGATAATGGAGGGAAAAATGAAAAGGAGGGACACTATAAAATGACAATCCCGCCCATCCTACACTCCATCTTGTACTCTACTGTCATACTATAGAGTATAAGACTATCGTTATAGCTTACAGTGCCAATTAAATAAATAAAACCCCTAAAACCTTAATTTAAAAAAATAATAATAATAAAATCCCCAAAATCTCTCTCGCTGTCTCACTCTTTTCTTCTTCGTTTTCGGAGTCTAGGCAATATTTTTTTTTAATTATTTTTTTAAGATTCTGAAACGCCATGCCCATTCAATAGAAGCTTTTACCGCTTGTACGACTTCGTACGATCGACGCATTGGTAAGTAAACATCGTCATTGCTTCTGGTTTTCTTCATTTTATGTGATTCGTTCGTTGAGTCTCTTTTTTTTCTTGATTTTGTTATTTCTTTAAATTTTTAAGTTTCTGTAATGTTTAAGATCATCCACTGTACGTTTTCCTTCCGTACTGAACTCTTTATATACAGTAATGGAAGTTTTTTACTTGTGTTTTGGTTTGATTCTACTGAAGTTGTTTTGAGAAGGAAAAATAAATATGTATTTTTTTTTTTTAAATTAGGGATGAGAGAGGGTTTGAGATCTGGAAATTGCTCCGTGCAAGTGGAGAAAGACAAGGTTTTGCCGGAGGAAGAAGATGAAGTGAATGATGACAAGCATAAGCGTTCTGCCTTAGATGATGAGGTAACCCCGAAAACCACTTATGGGTCTGATTCTGTGAAAGAAAGTATAAAACTTGTAGAGGGAGATGGGTCAGAGGTAGGTGAATGTGGAGAGGATGAATTAAAAATCAAAGAGGGAGATGGGTCAGAGAAAGTTGAATGTGGAGAGGAGGGATCAAAAATCGAAGAGGGAGATGGGTCAGAGAAAGTTGAATGTGGAGAGGAGATATTAGAATTTGAAAAGAGAGATGGGTCAAAGCAAGTTGAATGTGGAGAGGAGGGATCAACAATCGAAGAGGGAAATGGGTCAGAGAAAGTTGAATGTGGAGAGGAGGTATTAGAAATTGAAGAGAGAGATGGGTCAAAGAAAGTTGAATTTGGAGAGGAGGGATTAAAAATCGAAGAGGGAGATGGGTCAGAGAAAGTTGAATGTGGAGAGGAGGGATTAAAAATCGAAGAGGGAGATGGGTCAGAGAAAGTTGAATGTGGAGAGGAGGGATTAAAAATCGAAGAGGGAGATGGGTCAGAGAAAGTTGAATGTGGAGAGGATGGATTAAAAATTGACACTGGATATGGGTCAGAGAAAGTTGAATGTGGAGAGGATGGATTAAAAATTGATGATGGAGATGGATCAGTGAAAGTTGAATGTGGGGAGGATGGATTAAAAATTGATGATGGAGATGGGTCAGAGAAAGTCGAATGTGGAGAGGATGGATTAAAAGTTGACGACAGAAATGGGTCAAAGAAAGTTGAATGTGAAGATGATGGATTAAATTTGAACAAGAATAAGAGGAGTAAAGTAGATGGTGAAGATGATGGATTAAATTTGAACGACATTAAGAGGTGTAAAGTAGATGGTGAAGTGGATGCATTAAATTTGAATGAGAGTAAGAGGAGTAAAGTAGACGGTGAAGATGATGGATTAAATTTGAACGAGAGTAAGAGGAGCAAAGTAGACGGTGAAGAGGATGTGTTAAATTTGAACAAGAGTAAGAGCAGTAAAGTAGATGGTGAAGGCTCTGGAGATGATGACATCATAAAGAATGGAGTGAAGGAGGATAGCAAAGTTCAGAATGTTGTTCGGGTTTTGAGGTCAAGGTTTGTGGTGAATAGTGGAAATGAGAAGAAAGGTAATAAGGCAGAAATTAAGGAAAAGAATAGAAGTATATTGATTGTTGGATTTGAGAATGAAAGGGTTGTGAATGTGAACGTGGAAGAGCGTGATAAATCTGATGATAGTGAGGTGTTGAAGAAGGTGAAAGGTATGCGTGGGAGACCCTCAAAAGTTCGAAAGAGTGAAGAATCTGATGATTGTGTGGTGAGGAAGAAGGTTAAAGGTAAGCGTGGGAGACCCCCTAAAGTTCTGGACGGTGATGAAATTTATCACGAGGAGGTGAAGAAGGTGAAAGGTAAGCGTGGGAGACCTCCTAATGTGCAAGCTAGTGATGATTCCAATGATGTTGAAGTGAGGAAGAAGGTTAAAGTTAAGCGTGGGAGACCCCCAAAACTGCATAAGAGTGATGAAGCTAAGGGTGAGAGAAGAAATAAATCTGAATTGAAGTGCAGAGGACCATCTAAGGTTCAGGAGACTTATATATGCAGTGGGGAGGAGAGGAAGGTAGTGAAAGATAAGTGTGGTAGACCCCACAAAATGGCACAAGACTGTGAGGAAGCTGATGGTGAGGGAAGGAAGTGTTTGAAACGTAAGCGTGGGAGACCCCCCAAGGATGATTTTGATGTGGGAAGTAAGAGGCTGAAAAAAAAGCGTGGGAGACCTCGCATAGAGCAGGCTAGTAATACTATTTTGAAGCCCAAGTTTGGTAAGGGAATAAAGGTAAACGTCTTTAGAAAAAGCAGAAGGGAGTTAGAGCAGAGAGATAATGGGAAAGGATCAAATGCGAAGAGGTTTGCACCAACTAAGAAGATTAAATGTGAAACAGAGGACAGTGAGACTTCGTCAAGGCTGACATCAGAAGCAGTAAGGGTGTTGAAAGTTGAAAGTCAGAGTGAGAAGAAAAGTGCTGAAGCTAAGCAAGAGGAAACATTGGTAAGAAGTGAAGCAAAACAGTTGATAAGAGACCAAATAGTGGAACTTCTTTTGGCTGCTGGTTGGACAATTGAGTATCGGCCTAGGAATGGTAGAGAATACAAAGATGCGGTATATGTTAATCTTGAGGGGAAAACTCATTGGTCAGTCACCAAAGCTTACAAGTCGCTTAAAGCTAGTTATGAACAAGGAGATTCGAATGCCAGGAGTGGTTTCACATTTACTCCAATAGCAGAGGACGAGCTCAAAATACTTGAGAGAAAAACTCATAAGACCAGGTCAGATAAGAACAAGAAAAGATTGCAGAAAAAGGCAAATGATTTGGACACAGATGATGATATCGTTACTAAAAAGAACAGGAAAAAACAAAAACTGCCCAGAGCAAAACTGAATTCTGCTGGCAGTTCATGTGGCAAGTCACTGAAAAGGGGAATCAAAAGGAAATCTTCAGTCTGTGAGGACAATTCAGTTGGTCTGTCACACAAAGGAACACTAGTAACAGCCAGGAAGCGTAAGCAACAAAAAACACAAAATAGGAAGCGATGTGCTTTGTTGGCTCGCAACTCTGTGGAGGGGTTAGAGTCTGATAGTGATGGCTATTTACTGTATGAGGGTAAACGAACTGTGCTTGCTTGGATGATTGAATTGGGCACTGTGCCACTTAATGGGAAGGTGCAATACTTGAACCCCAGAAAGACACGAGAAATGCTAAAGGGCAAGTTTACAAAAGATGGCATATATTGTGATTGTTGTGATGAAATTTTTTCTGTTCCTAAATTTGAGGCTCATGCAAGTAGCAAACCCTGTTATCCATTTCAAAATCTTTACTTGGAGTCTGGAACTTCCCTCTTGCAGTGCATGCTAGATTCATGGAATAAACAAGAAGAGTCTGAACTTAAGGGGTTCCATTTTGTTGATTTTGGTGGTGTAGACCCAAATGATGATACATGTGGTATATGTGGAGATGGTGGAGACTTAGTCTGTTGTGATGGTTGCCCATCGACTTTCCATCAAAGCTGCTTGGATATAATAGTATGTATACCTCAGCAAATGAATATATGAAGCATACACAATTTAAGTTGTTTTGTGATTTGTTTTCATCCTGTGGCATGTTGTATAGGTTTTGATGAGCTTGAAATAAAAAAAGAAAAGGGAATTTCCATGACATAGTTAACATAAAGAATCTTTTATATTTGGTGTCTTGCTGAGACTGTCTTGAAAACTGACATTAAAATTCTTCTCAAGTTTAGTGCTGGAACAATTACTTTTTCATCTGAAGATAAAAATGCTACACTTTGAGTGCATCAAAACTTTTTCTAGTTATTTTCTTATATATTTTCTTTATGACCTGGTCTGAAAGTCTAGAATCAGTTATTTATCAGCCCTGGTCATGTTTTTGGTTGATGGCCTTGGTTTATCATTACCAGGCATGGTGTAACAATTTATGCAGGAGTAAACACAACAAGATTTCTTTGAATAAGCAAGAATGGCGTTATGACTACAAATTTTAGACATATCTTTTTTGTGTTAGCATGTGGTAATACACTTATTTTAGGTTTTATTGGGCTTATGAGTAATCTGCTTTTTTCTTTTGTACCCCCTCTTCTTTACTGCAGAAATTCCCTTCTGGAAAGTGGCACTGTGTATATTGTTCTTGCAAATTTTGTGGGAGAATTGATGATAATACTTGCCAAATGGATGATAAGGATTCAGCTGTATCGGCATTACTAATATGCAGTTTGTGTGAGGAAAAATGTATTTACTCTATCTTCTTATTTGCCGTATTGTCATATATTCCTTTGTTATTATCATAAGTGTTCTCATTATTATTATCAGCATTTCCTGAAGAGAGTACAAAACATTAACTGTTTCCTTTTTTTGTTCTTTTTTTTTTCGGTTGTTGTAGATCATCAAAGCTGTAGTCAGGCTGATGATGCTATAAATGATTATCCTAGTAGTCTAACCTTCTGTGGAAAGAAATGTCAAAAGGTAATATTTCATTTTGCCTGACCTATTTGTCTACCAGTTGTCATTTTCACTTTGCTATATTTTTAAGTATTTATTGTGTGGAGGATTGTCATTTGAAGCTTTATATAGTTTCTTGCATATAGCATTTGAGACTTGGGAATGAACTTCGTTGGACCACGGTAGCATTTTTATTGATAAGGGAGATATAGCCTATGTATGGCTCGTAGGTCCTTGTAGCCTTGCAGTGGACCTAAAGAAGAAAAAAGTATGCTTGATTGGATATGGTATTCAGACATTGGTGGCAGTTGCATGCAGCTGAAATTATTTGTGAAATTAATGTTTTTAGTATTTCTTTTAATTTTTTAAAAGAATTAGATTTTTCTTCTTAGGGAAATTTATCTGTCTTTATTTCTGTTTGGAAATTGATTTAAATGTTTTTGCTGTGCAGATATTTCTGAGACTAGAAAAGCTTCTCGGGGTTAAACATGAATTGGAAGATGGATATACATGCTCTCTTATCCATCGGTCTGATGTTGGTTTAGATCTTGATTGCACTGATGTGTGTCAGAAGGTTGAATGTAATGCCAAGTTGGCTGTTGCATTATTTGTTATGGATGAATGTTTTTTGCCTCTTTCTGACCACAGGAGTGGGGTTAATCTGATTCATAATATTGTCTATAATTTTGGGTAAGCACAGTTGCGCTATATGCTTGTGTGCATTATAAACCATTTTTCATGAAAGATTTAATTGTTCACCTAGCTGGCATTACTGTCATGGTGTATGCATATATGCAAGTGAAATTTTGGTAATTCACTGTGTGAATCTGAGTGCTATTATTTCTTGCTTTTTTGTTGAGCTGTCATATGAAGTTTAAAAAATTTTTAATTAAAAACCCTGGACTTCCTTATTTAATGTAGGCAACTTATGAAAGGAACATTTTGGGATTCTTTACATTTCTGATATTTCTTTTTGCTTGTGTTGGAACACAGATTGCCATGTATTTAATTTGTATGTTTGGTGATCTTCCATACTAAAAGTAAAAACAGATGATTCCTATTAATATTGAAAATTATTTGTTATAATTGAATTATAATTGTTCTGTATTCTATTCAACCATTCATCTCATTTTTCAGGTCAAACTTTAAGCGTCTAAATTATAGCGGTTTTTACACAGCAATTCTAGAGAGAGATGATGAGATCATCTCTGCAGCATCCATTAGGTATATACCTGCGTAATTTTTTTTTTTTTTTTTCTTTGCTTTAATTGCTTTGTGATTTACATCAACAAATTCATTTTTGGGCATTATCAAGGCTAGTGTATAATAATTGTAGCTTTCAGGAAATACACAGCTTTTGGAATGTGTTCTTTCCTTTTCTGTGAACTTTACCTTATTTGTTGTTCTAATTTAGTTCAATTCATTTAAAATTGACTGTCAATTAGGTTGCAGCTCTAAAGACTCTGTCCAGTTTGATTATATCATCAATCAGCATTTATTGTTTAGGTCAACTTCTTTTATTGCATTGTCATGTGTAGGAACAAACGCTTCTGACTATTGTGATTTTTCTTGTTATTGCTTATCAGCCTTCACCATTGGAAGATTGAAGCTCTCTTTAGTCTTGTAATTGCCTTTTCGAACTTCCTCTGAAACCTAAAGGCACCAGTTATCATGTTGATTGGGCTAATGTTGATTGCCATGCACTTTTTGTTGATGTCGGAGCCTGTAATTCCTTTACGTCCTTTTTTTCATTGAAGTAAATTCAGAAATAGTTTCACAATCAATTCCACACAGACACAAATGCATGTACTCTGAGATGGAGAGGGAAAAATTACTTTTCACAGCAAAACTGTTACCCTGGGACTTTAGGATATTCTTGCATAATCTGTCTATTATTTTCCCTTAGGATCATAGTTGTTCAGCCAAAGTGATATGAATTATATATGGTGGAATGTTGGGCATTTCTCCTGATTGAATACATAGTAACACCTTTTTTCCATTTATGTAACCTCACGAGGCTGAAGTTGCTTGTTTGTAATGTGTTTCTTTGGCCTTGACAAGAATTAAATACTGATGATTCCATTATTTATTTCTTTGTCAAATAGGATCCATGGAAATGAATTAGCAGAGATGCCCTTTATTGGGACCCGCCACATGTATAGGCGTCAAGGAATGTGCCGTCGGCTTTTAAATGGAATTGAATCTGTATGTAAAGAATCAAGTATCTTTTCTGCTCTCATCTGCTTCAATTACAGACTCAGTTTGAATATGATTAATGGTTAGGATCAGTGACTTCTATTATAACACAACATAGGATGCTTGTGAACCATTAGATCATCCATTTTGATACATTTAATTTTATTTTGAAGGTGCATTAATTGTTTATATATGCAATCTTAGTTGCTCAAAAAGCATTCATCCTTATTCAAAAATTGTTTGGAAAAAAATGTCATTGATCTGTTTCTGCTTGCTAATAAGATGTTCATCATGTTCATGCATTGAGTAATATGTAGTTTGTGGAAATTATTTAAAATTGCTGTATATATATATAGTATTTCTGTAGTAAGGACATATTTACGTAAATTTGATGAGGGCCATGTTTCAATACCATTAGATTCATCATCATAAGACTGAAATGATATTTTATAAATGAATCCAATGGTATTGAAACATGGTGCTCACAAAATTTATTAAAGGACGTCCTTATGAGAGAATTATTATAAATATATATAATTTAAAAAAAAAGCTCTACAGTGAAGGATATGTAGATGTCTATATTAGTGTTTAGTGTGCATGGAGTGCCATTTTATTGGTATTTGAGGGTATCTGCAGATTTTCATTTATTTCATTAGACTTTGTATCTTTTTGACCTTGCTATTTACTGGTTTAAATTTGTTGTTTCTCTTTATACGACTTTTTCTTTTATATTATCAGGTTCTCTGCTCCCTAAATGTTGAGAAGTTAGTCATTCCTGCAATCTCTGAACTCACTGAAACATGGACTTCAGTTTTTGGTTTCAAGCCCCTTGAAGTGTCAAGCAAGCAGAAAATGAAGAACAAGAATCTATTGGTGTTCCCTGGTGTAGATTTGTTGCAGAAACCAATGCTGAAACATCATTTTATTGAGAAAAATATGATTCCTGTTGAAGGTATTCAATAAAAGAACACCAACGCATGCGCGCAAACTCATTCTAGTCTCAGTTCATATTATGCATTTGTGGATTTTATAACCATGTATATTTTGTAGGTGTGAAATCCGATGAACTTAAGAAGCATCAAACAGTTGGTGAGATGGCACATAATTCTGATGGGAAACGTTCGTATCTGTTTGATTTGAATGTTTGTAGTGAGGATACAGAACTTCACGAATCTGTCACTGAATCCACTTTGCAGCTTCCTGATGGATTCTCACATGGTACGTCTGGTGTGATGAGTGAGACTGTCAACTTCCCAGAATCCACTAGTGATACAAAATGTACTGACCAATTGGGTGTGACTCATGATGTAATGGAGGGGAATGATAAATCTGTAATTAATCCTCTGGGTTCTGCATCTGATGTTGGACGAACTGAAGATACCAGTAATTGTGGACAGTGTCTCCATGCTTCTACGTTGACTACTGAAGGCAGTGCTTCTGATGGTAAAATAGAAAATAGCATCATTGAACACAACCTCAGTTCCTGTGATGAGGCATTTGCACATCAATCTGCTGCAAGTAACACTACTGAACATCAGCCCTTGGACATTTTACAGGGATTAAAAACTTCTAGTGAGAATGTTTTCGCTCATGATTCAGAGGCTACAAATCATATGGATCCCAATGCAAAGTTTATTAATGGTCTGCAGCAGTTGCAGGTCACATCTGAGTCAGGTGAAGGAATACTTGACACTGATGTAGTGAAAAGTAACCTTGCTGTTTCCCAGAATCCGTCTACATCATCAGTTTGCAGTATTAACCAAACTTCCCAACCCACCTTCCATAAAGTACAAAATGTTGATAATTCTTGTTGTGCCTTACTATCTGACTGTAACATCAGGTCTCGTCAGGGCAATGGGTTTAATGCTCATAAACTAGTCTCTGCAGTTGATAAGGTTTGCCCTGGTGGGGCTTCCACTGATACCCCTGGAAAACCTGATTGTCAGCCTACCATGAGCAGTGGCCTTTGCTTGTCTGCAGATGCCATGGCAGGTTCTTGTGAGGCTACTTTGAATGATGACCCTAGCCCAAAAGAAAATTCTATTTCTGTTGACAAGAACCCTATTGCTGATGGGTTTCAGATGAATACTGAATCTTCAATTCACCCTGGAGCCAATTCTCAGGTTTCTCATTCGAGTATCACACATTGCAATTCTGAAGCTTTGTGCAACTTGAGTCCTGGTTCAGGTGTGGGTGTTCGCTGTGCCCCTGGTGGGCTGAGGTGATAATCCTATCTAAGCAGGCTAGTTGATTTCGTTTTTGTTTATGCTCTGTAGAAATCAGGTGTTTTTTTTTATGGTAGCCATGAACAGAGGTTGCCAGAAGACTACCAGCTGGGCTTCAGCAAGTGATTTCTCATTATCATATGGATACAGCTTTTGATGCTTCATTCCGTAGTAGCGGTGAAGGCTGAAAGCAGGCGCTTAACCTTTCTGGGTAGTCGAATTTTGAGAATTTGTAATTTTTTGGTGGTAGAGTTTAGAGAGAGCCTTGTAATTGAAATGGTATTTGCATAGTGTAGCTTTAACATCTAGATTTAGATTCCATTGAGGGTTTTGTGTATTTTTAACATCGCCCATGCTCCTTGTAAATGAAACAATTCACCGCTATATTATGAAAATAGTAATTCCTTCTGACCATTTACGCCCCTTTTAATATCGTTTCTTGCTGCCATTGATGAACTATGCCACCATCTACTTACTGATTATCCTAATAATTTAAGGGGACGTTTGGTTCAAGAATGTTAGATTACTGGGAATGTTGGATTACTGGAAAGATAGATTACCTTGGAAGATTACTGGGAATCTTTAAGAAAATGTGTTTGGTTAGTTGGTGGGTATGTTATATTAATATGTTTGGTTATAGAAAATAAATTGGTGGATATGTTATTTAAATTATTAAATTGTCCCCCTTTTAAATATTAATATAATGTTATTTTTATTATTAATTTTTAAATAATTTTTTTAACCCCCAATATCTCAGATTTAGCTAAAACGCCCCTGCTTATATAAAACTTTAATTTATGACGAAATCAACCCCACCTCTTGCTGCTGTGTGCCGCCATCGCAAACCACTGTCGGAAGTCTCCGAAAGTCCCCGTGAGTACCTCACCGTGACCAAGAGGCTTCGCTATGGTCATTTCTAGCCATATTGATGGCCGAAAACGGCCATATCAGGCCAAATCTGGGCGAGATTTGGCCGTTAACGGCCATGGACTTGGCTGTTAACGGCCAGATCTATTCTGGCCAGATCTCGCCCAGACCTGGCCATTAATGGCCAGGGATCTGGCCGTTAACGACCAGTTCCATCGATCTGGCCTAATATGGCCGAAAGCGACCATATCGAAACCTCTCGGAGCCCCCCACCGAATCTCGTTCTTTTCTAGGGGCCCCGGCGATTTTCTGGTGGCGGTCCGTGGTAGTTGGCCCGCTGTCGACGGTGGTGGCTGGGTGGCAGTGTGGTCTGTAAATTATTTTAAATATAAGGGCATTATTGTCCAAAATTTTTATTAATAAGGGATAAAATGGTAACAAAAATAGATAACTCTGATAATCTCAGAATATCTAAGAAAATGAAGATAATCACTCCGATATTACCAATAGTAATCACTATTGGTATTTAAAAATTACTGGTATCTTATATTACTTGACAATCAAACATGGTAATCAAGTAATATAAAATGACATAACCCCATTAATCCCACATAACTCCCAACCAAACACCCCCTAAGGGTTTTTTTTGGTATTAAAGAAATATATTTATTATTTTTTAAAGTTGGTACTCTAAATAACAAAATTTAATAAAACAAAAAGAAAAAAAAATACGTTTGGGCTGCATTTGTTTCATTTTTTCCAATACTATCTTATCCAACCTTACTTAAAATATCTGAGATCTATGGCTGTAGATATAACATTTACAATTGCCGCAATAATTGATAAAAAATGACATCTAACAACTTCACAGGTTTCCACACACTTTAAATAGCATATCATCCAACAATTTTCAACCCCATTGCTTACACGCATTGATCAAAGCAATGGCAAGGCTGGCGAATGATTTTCGAGTACATTTCAAGAGATGGATTGCAATTTGCAAATAAAATTGTTTGAGGAACACCCACATGTTTTTGGTTTTGAGTCTGCTGAGAGAACAAATGTGGGTCTGGGTCTGGGTCTTAGATTTGAATATTCTAAAGAACTTCAGTTCCATGGAAAAGTACATTGATTAGACCTCTATTTTTGCATTTAGCACTCTCAAACCTGGGCTTTAAGCATCAAGGTTTAATCCTACTGTTCTAGGCACAATCTATACAACCAGGGCAGTTCAAACCCGCGAGACCATACCATTACAAGTGAAGTGAAGCCGTTAAGCTAGAAAAATGATCACAACAGAAAAGCCATAATTTCATTTAGAAAAACGAAATAAAGAAAACAAAACAAAGTATACCATTGATAATCGAAATTATATGAAAGCAACAGCATTCATGTGAATTCTCTCATACATACTAAAAGGTAAATCCTACTAAAACCATACAAAACAAAACATGGAGCACCAACAAGAGCAAAATTGGGGAACCAAATTATCTCTTCTTGGAGACACCAACAGTTTTTCCTCTGCGACCAGTGGTCTTGGTGTGCTGCCCACGCACTCTCAGACCCCAGTAGTGACGAAGACCACGATGGTTCCTGCCATAGAAAAAATTAAGCAAATTAATAATTGCAAAAAATAAAAATGACACCCCCCAAAACAATATAAATAATCACTTTGCAAGGCAGGCACCATTATGTTGATATACAGACTTCAAATATGAAATAATAACTAATCAGGTAAAACCAAAACTTAAAAGGAAGTTCTAGTCTAAAAGCAGACCTGATCTTCTTCAAACGTTCGAGATCATCTCTGAGCTTCATATCCAATGCATTGGAAACTACCTGAGAGTACCTTCCGTCCTTATAATCCTTCTGCCTGTTCAGAAACCAGTCTGGGATTTTGAACTGGCGAGGATTTGCAACAATTGTCATAAGGTTTTCAAGCTCTGCGGCTGACAATTCACCAGCTCTATGGATAACAAATTCAGGAGTCAGAGACTCAGAATCCAACAAATCCAAGCAAACAAAAATGAAAGAAAAGAAAAATATAAAACTTAACATCAATAATGCCCGACTTCCTCAAACATCACCCATTCCATTGAAATTAAACCATATACAAGTAACCAAAACGTGCCCTTATACCGCTAAAACACTAACAATGTGAGAAAAATAGCTAAAAATTTAAATTGGCAAACCACAAATCAGCATCCGTATGAAACTTAGAACTTATTCAAATACAAGTGCACAAGATATAAATAACAAATTGATTTCCCAAATAAATTGTCATATTCTTAATTGAAATCAAATATTCCTGAACACAAACTAATACCTGAAATTTTTCTTTAACTCATAGAATTATTCATCAAATATATGGTTACTTTGGAAAGAAATTGAAGATACCTCTTGTTCATGTCAACATCAGCCTTCTTGCAAACAATGTTAGCAAAACGACGACCGATACCTTTGATGGAGGTTAAAGCAAACATGATCTTCTGCTTCCCATCGACGTTCGTGTTGAGTACACGAAGAATGTGTTGAAAATCTTCGTTCGCTACCAAAGCCTAGAAAAAAAATTAAACGAATAAACAAAGCCGCATCATGAGGCAGAGAAATTTTAACTTAAAATATTAACTTACCATTCTTATGTTTGAGATCTGCACCAGCAGTTTGTGTGTGAGTGAGTGTAACGACTTTCAAATGGAAGAGACAGTGAGGAAGCCCAAACCCTAGTTGTGAAGGGTAAAGTCAGAAGTGTCGTGTATTTATAGTTTATGAGAAAATGATGTTTGCCACGACAATTTTATTTCTTTCCAGGTCATTATTTATTCCTCTATTATTAATAGGTTAGCTGTATTGGATTGAGCATTTAGCAATGTTTTAAAACTCAATCGGGGTGAAACCCGGCAAAGCTTCCGAGTCTCGGGTTGACCGGTTTAACCGATTTGATCAGCGGTCAAACCGGTTGACAAACACTTTTAAAATTCAGCAAATATATCCCTGAAAATTTTTTAAGTCCTTATAGGTTTGAAATTTATCAAACACACCCCAATTGCAAATCGATCGGCGACTGATTAGCGGCGGCGACACCCAGATGCAACTCCAATCATCCCTTGAGCCCATTTCCATCAAAATATACCTAAGATCTGACTGAAATAGGTTCGATTTCGGCCAGATCTCACTGACGTCGACTTCGGCATTCCAGGCCAGATCCCATCGATTCCGGCAACAAAAACCCTCCCCATCACCCCAAAATTACTCCTCTTTTCCTCCCGACCAAAACCCACCTCACCCTACCCTCGTTAGCCTCGTCAATCGCCGGAAAAATCTCATCGTTGCCACTGCCAGTTTTGTTCGATTTTCGGTCGATTTACTCACCAGAAATCAACTCTTTCACCACCATTACATTCACCGAAAATTGCTCTTCAAAAGCCCCAACATTCCGACAGTTAATTGTTCGCCGATCATCACCAGAAATCCTAGGGTATTGGGTGAATAGGAAAAAATTAAACCCGGCCCGTTGAAGCTTCTGGGTCCTGGTTGAACCGGTTCAACTGGCCAGGCCGGGCCGGGTTTTAAAACATTGGTATTTAGAACAGTATTTTTGAAAAAAGTTGAATTGAATTGTTATTATGAGAATAAGATTTGAATTTGAAGATGTGTTTATTAAATTTTTGGAAAACATTTTTTGAAAATATTTAGATTATTTTTAATTCCTCACATTTGTTAATTTAGTTAAACATCTCTTACAATAAAACATTGGAAATTAACAAAAACACATTTACCCACATATTAAATACCGACAGTCAACCACCACAGTCGAAAGGTGGTCAGAAGTTGCCAGAATGGCACACTACCGACTGGATGTGACTAGTCGTGCGTCATTCCGACAGATTTTGGCCACCTTTGGTAGTGGCCAGTTGCTGGAAATATGTGGGTGAGTGGAGATGTTTTTGTCAATTTATAAATTTTTATTGTTGGGGTGTTTAGTTAAATTAACAAACCTATGGGATTAAAAAATCTAAATATTTTGAGTTAAATAGAATAGGATTGAATTTTGTAAATATTGAAACAAATATGTGTGCATTTGTTTCCTTATTTTTATCTTATCCTATTCCTATTATTTCCAAAATGCACATTTATTTTCCTATTATGAAAATACTATTATATTTTATTCAATTATTTTTAAACCCCTAAGTTTGTTAATTTAACTAAACACCCTAACAAAAACTAGAAATTGACAAAAAATACCCTCACCTACCCACATTTGCCAGATTCCAGCCACCACTGCCGGAAGGTGGCCAGAATCTGGTATAATGGTATATTACCGGCTGGATTTGGTCGGTAGTCCGTTGATATAGCCTTTTCCGGCCAGATCCACTGTGAATTTGGCCAAAAAATGACAAATCTACCACTAAAGATCTAAATGTTAATGGCCAGATCCTTGGCTGTAGCTAGTCGTCAACAACGACCAAATTTTTGGCCATCGTTGATGACCAAACGCGACCAGATCTAGCCACAGATTTAGCATTTTTTGATTAGATCCACGATGAATCTGGTTGGAAAAGGCCATCTTAACTCACAACCGGCCAGATTCAGCCAGTTATGCGTTGATACGGTGACTCCGGCCATCCTTAGGCGGTAGTGGCCAACTGTTGGTATTTAATAGGAGGATAGGGGGTGCTTTTGTACTTTATTAATGTTTTTATTACAAGGGTGTTTAGTAAATTAACAAACCTAAGGAGTGTTTTTGTTAATTTTTAAATCTTATCTCATTATTACCACCCAACTCTTATTTTTTCAAAAATACTAAACAATCGCACGTATTGTTGAGCCTATTGTTATTTAATTTACAATTAATTAGGTTGTCTAGTCAAATTTTTTTACTCCAAGCTTGTAAAAGAACAAGCTCAGTGAACATGTTATCTTCATGGAGTAATGCTACCTTTACACTATTTTTATTACATCATGATGTGGTATATGTCACATCTACACAAATTTTTAATTATTTTGAATTTTTAACATTATAATAGAATTATTATTAGTAAAATGGTCATGGTATAATGAAAATGGTGTAAAGGGTGGTGTAAATGTATCATTACTCATCTTCATGATGTTAAAGGATGTGTGAAGAAAGTTGATAATGGTGAGTTCATGTTAATTTGGATAAGATTTTCAGATTATATTGTCATGATATTCAACATCCACTCTTACGTCGTGGCAAAGCTTAACCTACAAAAACATCGTATTCTGAATACATGGTTATAGCTTTTAAAGTTGTACCAATAAAATAAAATGTATTTTTCTCTGTGTAATCTTTTTTTTTTTTTTGGCAACATAGATCAGTTTGTGCGCATCTCAACTAATCTCCGAAGTTTATTGAACACTCTTCAAGTTTAAAGACAAGATAAACCACAATAATATTGTGGTAGGTGGCTCCAAGGTTTGAATCTAGAAACTCAAATAATGGAGCAAATCTTCTTGACCGTCAAGTCAGCCCCTTAAGATCTTATCTGTGTGATCTGCCCTCCTCCAATGGTTTTACATTTACGTAAATTTACGATCAATGGAAATTTTGAAATGCATAAAATAAAGAACATGGAAAGAGGACTCTGCTTGCACCTATGACAAAATGGAAAAGGAAATAAAACATCAAAAGCCTCTTATCATGGAAATCGAGAGAAAACTGATCAATAGCTCCCACTGCACTGGGGACGAAATTCGATGGAAACTAAATATATCAATTAGTACAGAGAGAGTCTAGCAGCTGAATATATCCAAAAATGTAGAAGGTAATAATACATACAATAGAAACTGAATATCTCCCATACAAGAACAGAAAACTGATAATTTGATAGAGAGAATTTTACAGAGATAACCAGAGAAATCAGTTTCTCCGTTTGCTAACTTCCCTTAGTTCTGTTGAATGTGCTTAGCTGGACTTTACAGTTAGTTAACTTTGAGCTATAGATACTGAATATTTCGCACCGGAATATCTAGAGAGGTCAAGTTACTTTAACATGTAAACTAGAACATTTAAAGTCAAATATCAAGTGATATATACCTAACGGGATGGGATCTTTCAACTTCAAATATGACTTAAATTTTTTACATAAATTTTCAGCTGTGGAATTAATACAATCCAATAGTGCAAGAATTGTTGAGGTGACAAACATAATAACACAAAAACGAAATATCTTCAACAGTTTTTATTATCTAAATATGATGATTCTGCTACTTCATAGAACAAGTGAAATGAATGGGATATTTTTCTTCCCTCCCAGTTAAATAACCAAAAATAAATTACCTAATATTTCAGCTGCATATTGATACTGTACGCCAAAAGTTCTCTAAATCATGTTAAATGATTCCCCATCTCATTTCAATTTTATAAACCTCCGAGCTAGTCAGTTGGTCAGGCCAGTTAAGTATGGGCCGACAAAGACAAGTATAACCCAACCACAAACCCACCTTTAGAAGCCCACACAAAGATGCAAACCAACGTCAAGCCACAACCCCCTGCTGCCCTGCACAGCTTTGAATGGCAATCTAAAACAAGTCTTAACCAGAATTAAATCGGACGGACTGTCAATGCCTGCTTGAAGAGATTAGCTTCATGAAAAATACCAAAAAATAAATCTCACTAAACGGGCCACCGTCCGTAAAAGCATTAAGGCAACCATGCTGTTTCAAGTAGCTTTTGATTATGGAATTCGGAGCTGGTGGGTTTTGTTTGGGAGGTTAAAGCATTTCTTCTAGTAGAATCATTGAACTACTAAACGTAGCTCAAGAACAAGAAAACCCAACTAATTATAAGCATTATTCACCAAAGTGACAGACAATTACTCGAGATTTTCTGCATATCATTATCATTTGCATAAACTTAAGAGATCTTGCTGTACGTAAGATTCTACCTCCTGAGAATCTTCACATGTATAATAGATAAGTACTATCTCTCCCGCCATTAGAACAAAACTTGCGGATGAGTTCATCAACTTGAAATTTAAAAAAACCATATCTGCTCAGAAGCAAGTCGTTATCAATGGCATCTACTCATCACTGATTAAGCTCGTGGGTGAATGGGTTATCTTTATAAGAGCAAATATATATATTGACAAAAAATAAAGGACAAAATCAAGATTCCCTGGCCTGTCTTTGCTTTGCAGAAGTGTTTTTTTTTTTTTTTTTAAATCGACTCCGATTTGGCTTCATTTAAATCTAGAATTTGTCTAGATGCAAGGGATTCTTCCCAATCAATTATAGACAAAACCGCTGATTCTGTACTTTATTTATGGATTAACATGTTGGCTTTATCTATACCCTTACGTAAAAGACGAGGATTCTACCCTAAACTATCATTCTTTCAGTCGGAGTATCCGATTATTAAAGTAATTATATTGTGTAAACCAATCAAAACCATCTAATCTAATATAAAACTTCTTATTACAAACATATAAAATTATTCATTATTCCCAAGTATTGAGCGTTTAATTAACCCCTTATAAGCTACGGGCAAACACCCAACAAAGAAGAAAATAATCATTTTGAGTAGGATGATAATAAAAGAGCAAAATAAAGTTTTGAGTTATAAAGTTTAAGATTTTTCAAATACTAATAAAAATGAACATTGAGATTTTCATCTGACCGACAATATCAGGATCTTCGGCATTTATTAAAGGAGAAAACAAGAAATCTAACATTTCTAAATGATTTTTCTTGCAACATAACGAGATTTTATCATTAAAATCATCATTAACAAGGAGATATTTTTGTCATTAATGCGATAATCAGACATTGATGGCCTATAGTAGAAACATGATATCATGTGACAATTATGATTACGCTAAAATCCAGAATTCACTCTCGTGGGTCACCAATGTCTATCCCTGAGACCCTAAAAGACACCAGTATGTCCTGCATTCATACCAGAAAGTTGATTAAATTTAAGTAAAAAACAAAATTATGCATCTAACTCTTTTATGTGAAACCACATGTCCCAAACAGAACTAGCTAAGTACGAAACTAACACAGAGCTTTCCCTGCTTCAACTGTTCAAAATTTCCCACCAAAATCAAACCCATCTTTATCAACTAATAGAAGAAATAAAAATTAAGTTTCTCTGCAAGAAAAAAGAAAAAAAAAAAAAAAAAAGATTCTGCCGCTTGCTTTGAAACAAGGGCCAAAAGGAAGTGTAAAAAGATAAGGCTGATAAATTAGAAGACAAAAAAAAAGAGGACCAACTTTATAGTTCCCCACATATATTATGTATTGCCAAATAAATCTGCAACCAAGATTAGACAATAATTACATTATCCCTCATACCGACAAGCCTCCACATTGTACACATTAATTTCACTAAAAACCAACCGCTTCCACCTCCTCCACCCCCGCCGCCCAACGACGGAAACAAACAACTCACTCACCTCCCCCGGAATTATCGTCCGAAGACATCAGACTCACCAGAAGATCAGCGAAAGCTGATATAATGAACTTGTGTGTGCTCTTCGGATTCAACGCCAGGTAACATAAAAGAAGCTCGTGCAAGTAATCCCAGTTGGCTTTCACGTCCACCAAGTCACCTGCCTGCACCATCTCCTGCATAGATCGCCGGAAGTCCATGTACGGGTCCGGCGAGTCGGTGTGGACCGCCACACTGTCTTTAACACTCGCAGACTTTATCAATAACGATTGAAACGAATCTTGCGATAATAAATTAACGTCTGATGATTGGTTGGAGTCTTCGTTCCTCGGACTGATCATTCCAACGGGCGTATCGGAAGATTCAGCCGTGGCGACGGACGGCGTTGATTCAATGATGGAGTTGGAGCGACCCGGGGAGGTGAAAAAGAACCGTTGCGAAGCAAAAACGGTGGCAAAGTCGGGTTCGGAGACCGGTTCGGATTCAGAGAAAGTGGAGTCTGAGGAATGCGTGGGAGTCATAGTTTTGGTGGTGGAGTCAAAGGCGTTAACGTTGGTGGTGTTGTGGTAGTCGTAAAGAGAGTTGAAATTTTTGAAGAGAAATGGATGGTGGTGATGAAGGGGAGGAGATGACTGGGGGCTTAGAGGAGGTTTGATCTTGGTGAAGCACATATGGAGGTTTCTTCCAAGTGCGGTGGGCATTTTCAGTTTTGGTTGTTGCGGAGAATTGAGAAATGAGAAGAGAGATGGGAAGGGAAGGGAAGGGAAGGGAAGGGAAGGTGTATTTATGTGAGAGAGATGGTTGTACTTCCGGGTCCAACGGTGACAAGACAGCCGTGAAAGTCTCTGTGAATTGGACCATTTGGTTTATTGACCTATTTACTATCTGAGTGAAGCGCGTTAATCACACGCTCCACCGAAGTCTTAAATAAACTAACGTTACGTAGGTAAAAAGCGCGTGAGAGAATTAAGGGGTTGTAGTAATAACAAATACGAAGTAGGAAACGATGTTTAGGTTGTAAGGAAGGTGCACATGCAAAGTGGGTGGTGGGAGTAGCCACGAAGGCATTTATATGGTTCTGTGCTTTTTACTTAAAATGCTAATTAATTACTGCTTAATCTTAATTAATTCCCATCCTTTTAATACACTCGTCATAATCAATCACCTAAGAAAGTGATTGATCAGATGGCTCTTGATATCTTATCACCCAATATAAGATCTCTTGTCTCTCCTCCTGAAAATCTTATGCCTATTCATCAAGTTATTAATTTCTTGTAATTTTAGGTTAAAGGTATGTAATAATTCTTAATACCAAATGCATCTTATTTTTCTTTTTAAGAAGATTATTACTAATTTTAGGAGGGATACTAATTAAATAGCATTTATAATAAATCAGCCTTAATTAATTAATCTTTCCTATTATAAGCCTTGTTAATTAATATGTAATAACGTTAGGCTTTTGAAAGAAGAAAATTAATACAATTACTTATCACTAATAAATTATTTGGTGGGTAATTTAATTTAATTTAATTATAAGCTGAAATGGACATCTCTTTTTACAGGAGACAATGAAACGAAATAAAAGGAAATTAGGTTTCTTAAAATCATACCAAATCAACGTTCTGGTTTAATGCATGGGGCCCTATGCCCCCGGCCCCAATGAATTCGTTGGTGAATGTTTTAGAAATGTACCAAATTAATCTAGCTTCACGAAATGAATAAATTATAAATGCAGCTTCCTGCTTAATTCATTGCAAAATTTGGAATGAGAATGTACAAAAACGATTGTTTTGTTGGCGTGTTTGGGTTTGTTTTATTTTCTGTATCAAGAAAAGCTTTTGAGCTACGCGAAGAAGAAGAAGAAGATTGTGAGGAGGAGGGGGAGGGTGATGGTCCAACCAACCTTAAAATAGTCACGATCCATGCACATGGTGGGGTTAACCACCCTTCTTCAAATCTTCAATTCTTCATCCATCCAACTAATTCGTTTGCTTCTGTTTATCTTCACACCCCTATCCCACCACCATTTCTTGCAATACCCTTCAAACTTCAACCCCTTTTTGATTTTATAGATGTCCGACTCTTTTCCGGATCTCATTTACTGTCATCAATAAATAGTTTATCACTGTTTTTGGTGATGGCGATGAGTGATTGAATATTCAAATATGATTTGGAAATGTCAGCAAGAAAGCGGGTGGTGCAGTCCGTGACCACTGCCTGCACAAAAACAAAACTCTTGTGCATGAGAAATCAACATCATCTTCAATTCTTCATCAGAGACGAAACTTCACCATAATTGTCATTGGCATGTTCGCTTTCACTTTAATGGAGCCTCTTCACCTCATTCGGTTTTCACTTAATATTTCTTCTACTAGGTTTCATCAATCCAAAATTAATTAATTAATACTCTATTAATCTCAAGCCATTCTAATTAGGCTCCCTTAGACTTTCCGCATCAATAATGAAACCCCAATTCATCAATATATTAGCATTAAATTCCACATTTCATGGTCAAAAACAAGTATTAATATTCACCTACCTTAGCTTATACGTATCCCCTAAGAGCTTAACAGTTAACTCAAATATTTAATTCATCGAAAATTATGGACAAATTCATATTAAAATTAATTTTAATATACAAAAGAAAGTAAACCAAGTGGGACACTTCACATTTCGTAAGTTGCAGCGGATAAATGATAAAAACAAATTAAGAGGACCATCCATCCATGCATGCATGCGTCAATAATTTTTACACTACTGAGTCTGACTGGTACTGTAACATAATAGTTTATGTGTAATGCCAGAAGCACAGTAAATTATTGGTTTAAATCATTAAAATTGACACATTCAGAAGCACACGTGATCAGATACGTACAGCCACACTGCATGCAAATGTGTTATCAGTTGTTGCTGCTTCAGTAGTTTAATGGTGAATATGATAATAGTTTGTGATGGGGCATGACTTTTGTTGACTGTTTAGCACAACTTCTTGGACTGTGTTTGAANAAGTATGGACGGGCGTCCATTCCTAATGGACGCCCGTCCAAACATAAGGGACGGCCGTCCAAAATTTATGGACGGCCGTCCTCAAGTTTTTTTTTTAATTTTTATATTTTATTTATGGACGGGCGTCCTTTAAATGGGGACCCCCGTCCCTTGTGTATGGACGCCCGTCCATATAATATGGACGGGCGTCCATGTGAGTGAACGGCCGTCCAAATTTGATGGACGGCCGTTCACTAGAAAAAAATTCTTAAAAAAATCAAAGTTGTGTTACACGTAGGCCGGTACATATTTTCGGTGTAAAATTTTCGGTGTCCGTAGCTTTGTTGAATACAGAATTCCCTGACTCCCAACAAATAGCTACTCTTGAATGGAATGAGTTGGGTAATCCTCATGATGATTAAGCCATGGCTACTGTTAGCACGCCACGGGCCCAAACTCTACCATCCAACCCAACAGAGGTGTCATCTACTGCCAATCTTGGAGGGTGAATCAGATATGTTGATAGATTAGAAGTAAAGGTAAATGGACATGTTTTTATCTAGAACCTTGTCGGAGTTTCTGACTCAAGGTTCTGAGAGTTGCCTAATGTTATTTGAAATACGAGGTTGTAAAGAATAGGAATGAGGTGTTTAGGTGTTATACATTTGAGTGATACGAATGATACAATGTGATATTTTAGTAAGTAAATCGAATGACGTTGTAGTAAGTTTGAATGATGCAAATAACAGGAAGAAACCTGATGGATGGAGATTCCAATTTACATTGGTGGGACAAGAAGAAAATAGAATAACAGACTTTTTATTTGGAAAGAAGGAAGATCAAATAAGAGAAGTATGGAAACCTTGCACCGTCGTGCGGTGGCGCGGAGAGATGCGACAATGGGCTTGGGATGGCAAAGGAACCCCAACGATGTAAAGAAATGGACAATCCAGTTTACTAGTGGAGGCGGCACGACTGGATTTGCGGGTGCGCATAAGTAAACATGCGTGAAGGACAACAACAACCTGAACGGCGCGGCCACCAGAGTGCAGGTGGCGGCGGGAAAGATGAGGGGAAGGTGAGGTTTGAAATGGGGCGTCAGAATAGTGCCAGAAATGGCTGACAGCGACACCCCCTATAGCCAAGGGGTTGAGAAAAACTGACATTATTATCCTTTCACTGTTTTTTGAGTTTACCATTGTATTCTTTTTTTGTTAAAGTTAACGGGCATTGGGTGGGAAAGTGTCGTTTTTAAACTTCACGGGTAGAAAAGTATCGTTTTGCTAAATCTTGGGTGGGAAAATGTCGTTCTCCCTAAAATTAATTTTAATATACAAAAGAAAGTAAACCAAGTGGGACATTTCACATTTCGTAAGTTGCAGCAGATAAATGAAAAAAGCAAATTAAGAGGACCATCCATCCATGCATGCATGCGTCAATAATTTTTACACTACTGAGTCTGACTGGCACTGTAAGATAAGTGTAGCAACATAATAGTTTATATGTTATGCCAGACGCACACTAAATTATTGGTTTAAATCATTAAAATTGACACATTCAGAAGCACACGTGATCAGATACGTACAGCCACACTGCATGCAAATGTGTTATCAGTTGTTGCTGCTTCAGTAGTTTAATGGTGAATATGATAATAGTTTGTGATGGGGCATGACTTTTGTTGACTGTTTAGCACAACTTCTTGGACTGCGTTTGAATTAATAATAATAAAATATAAACAAAAACTTGCATGTGTAGGAAGTGAGAAGGAAGCTGGAATAGACATTGTATGGCTGTAGAAGCACACTCTTAATTCAGAGCATCTTGATGATGATGATGACTATGACGATGAATCGATGATGATGAGATCTTAGAGATGAGCTGTAGCAATTGTCTTTGCCGGGAACTCTGCCCATTAGACAGCCAAGTCCTGTGCAATGTCAGTGAAACTTCTCACCTTCTTTCTCTCATCTCTATTATACAATATATATACATCCAATCAAGCTGTGAAGGACTATTATTATTATTGTATTCAATTCTATTCAATGAAAACAAAATCACCATTGTTTCATTTGCGCTTTCATCAAACACCTTGGATATATACTTTATTGGTACTTATTTTAATGTGTCTAAACAGATATCTTTCCATATAAAAATCCCTGAAATTAATGATTAAGAGTTGTCCAATTGTTATTAGTTTAGATAACCAAATATCACATTCAAAAAAAAAAAAAAGGTTGGAATAATTAATAGGACCATCCTTAATTAAAATGGTTTAGAGAAGAAAAAATGCAATTTGTACAATAACTCTTGGTGAACATATATAAGGACATTTATATTGTTCTATCCAATATTATTCTTGGGTATATATATAGGAATGCTAATTGATTACTCAGATCTCAAGTTAGATTATAGAAATAATGGAATGAAGGTATTACATTTTTATGACATTGACACACAATAGTTAATATTCCAGTAAAATTATGTGTTGTGCAAGTCCGGATTTTAATTGACTTTTGGGGTATTACCCAATAAGTCCTAACTTCGATTCACCTCAATTGCTAATAGATGTGACCATTATAGGTTTACCTGACTGTTAACTTTAATGTCTCAAAGATTAGTTGAGATATGTGTAAGGTGATCCAGATACCGTAGTCACAAAAAAAAAAAAAATAAAAAAATAAAAAGTCCAGCTTATAAAGGAACTTCCAATTGGCAGTAGAGCTGGTCAAGGACCAGTCCCAAGCAGGTCCAGGTCTGGGCCCGTTTGGGACTGATCCTTTTGGGATTGGTCCCAAATGGGACCAGTCGCTCATGGGCTTGGGTCCCAGGCCCATGAGCAATTCTAGGACCTGGACCAGTCCTATGGGCCCAGGACTGGTCTTATAGGCCTAGAAAATTTATTTTCCCCTCTGATTTTTTTTTTTATATTTTAAGGGTGAAACGACATTTGGCACTAGTTAAATTCCACCTTTAACACAAAAAATTTAATGAGGTCCAACAACCCAAACGAATAAAGACTTTGCCGGATGACTAATGTTTGGTTTGGGCCCAAATCGACCATGCGATGTGAATGGTCATCGGTTTAATTATGTGTAGACTGTAGTCAAGAATTCGCTAAATAGTCAACGCAAACTCTCCAGACTAGGGCCCACAAAATCACAAAGCTCGTCCTCTCCAGATCAGCACCATATTATTGTTTACGTGCAAAATGACCTCGATTATAAGGATATTGTACTACTATTTCATATTATGATATTAAATTACAAGCAGTTTCTAAAAACAAAAACATAATTTTCTTTTTTATCAAAACAGAAGGAAAACTAAACTCACATTTCAACCCTTAAATTTAGAACAACAGTAAACTATTCATATTTAGATCTCATTTGTTTTGGTTAAATCTAGCTGCTGCAGCCATGGAAGACGCCACTCCACCAGGTGTGGTTCTCAAATCAGCTTTATTTCTTATCTCTGAGCTAATCACTCCTTCAGCGTCTTCACGCGTCACTGGTTTGTCACCAGGCAGTTTCGTGGTTGCATCCTGCCACAGAAAAAATTAAACAATTAACACACACACTATCCTTCAAAAAAAATGCATCCATCTATAGAAAAATAAATCAACAAGAATTACCGCCAAAACGTCCGAGATGGTGGTCTTATCTGCGAAGAACATTGTTCGTTGATTGTGGGCGGCTGCAGACTGCGCTATGGCACCAACCCCACCAGGTTTAATCTCATTATTACTGCTCGCTCTCACCTCCGCCGCATAAATAGCAGCGGCGTCGCTCTTATCCACCGGTTTATCCCCCACGGAAAGAGCCGTTGCCTCTAAAGCTTCACCGATTGTAACTGAATCAGGATCAAAAATTGCTCCAGGAGATCTCTTTGGCACATCTGGTTGCTCATATTGCCCCACAATTTGGTCACCAACCGCTTCGACGATAACACGTTGGCCGTCTATGACGGTTTCAGTAACGGTGACGCCTTGGTCTCTGGCTGTATCGCTAACAGCGCCGCGGTTGACAAGACCGGCCCTCTGGTTCACCGTGGCTGCCGATTGCATGACGGCAGCCGGGCCGCCTTTTTGGGTCTGTCCGAGGACCATGTTCTCAGCTGCCTGAATACTGGCGGCGTCTCGTGGCGCAATGGGATTCGATGCTAGCTTCCCAGAGACGTCGAAAACGTCACCGTATTTGATGGGTTCTTGCTGCGGTGACTGGTCGGCCTGGGGCCTTCGTGGCTGTTGCTGGCTCATATTTGGCTTAACTTAACGGAGTTTGGACAGCAGAGATTGTGTTAAACCGAGTTCCAATGTGAAAGAAAGAAGACAAATGTGCTGGTTGAGAAGTGGTAGCGAGATGTTGAATATAAGTAGTGTGAGTACGAGGCTGCGGAGAGTTTAAGGTTTGTAGAGAATTTGACAGCAGGGTTTCTAATTGTACACGTGTGCAAATGGGAAAGAGATTTTTGGAGGGTTTTTGACAGGTGGGGATATGTTTCATGACAAGTGGCATGGAAAAATGGGTTGAAATGTATAGGACTTGCCACCTGTTACATACATTTCTGGACCTAGATTTTCTTTGAGAAACACATAGCACCGATTATATAGTTAGAGTAATACTAGCCTTACAAAGAGACATACAAAGAGTTATACAAAGAGTTATACAAAGAGTCAAATCCAGTCCATGAAATAATGAAAAAAGAGAGACAGAAAGAGACAATTATGAATTTCAAGGGCTGGATTTGACTCTTTATATGCCTCTTTATAAGACTAATATTGCTCATATAGTTATATGCATAAATGTTAATTGCATTAATGCTAGGGTGTACATCACCGGTTAACCGAACCGGTTTTTTAGTTGAAGTTTTTTTTTTAACTAAAAATGAATCGGTTAAGAAAAAAATAGATTAATCGGTTATGAAAAACCAGTTAACCAGTTTGAATTGGTTTCCCTTTACCTTATTTTTTATTTTGTTAATTTTGTTTTCAACTTTCATATGAATATGTTCCCCACCGTGCTTGGTCTGAATCTCACACTAAATTCTAAAATTTGTGTTTGTGTGTAGCAAAAGAGGATAAATGCGTAAAGGGTGAAGAGTAAAGAGAAATAGATTTAAGGATTTAGGTTTTTTAAATTTTAAAGTGAAAATCGGTTCCGATTAGTCAGTTTTATAAATTCTTTAAACCAGTAACCGAACCAGAAATTGAGTTTATGTATTTCTTTGAATTGAAACCAAACCGGTTTTTCAAAAAATCAGTTTGGTTCGGTTTTGCATTTTTATGAACACCCCTAATTAATAGAAGTCTTTTATGTTATTGCAAAAAAGTATTTTATATAATAAGATGTAATACAATGCATGCATGTATCCGTTGCTATGGCATGTCCATGCATGCATGCATACACTTAAGGAATAGAATAAAGTTCCGATGTTGCCAATTAGAATGTGTTGTTTTCTGAAAAGAACGACGGAATGGAGAATATGCTTTATAGAAAAGCAAAATGTTGAGAGTATATATGATGGTTAGGGTAATGGGTCTTTTACTTTTGTGATGGATTGAGGTCCATGCAAGTTCAAATGGACCACAGTCCCAAACCCAGCCCACTATCATTCATAAGAGAAGAGAGAGTGAGTGCTATAAGATTCTTGAAGCTGAAAGTGGAGAGCCCTTTTTCCTCCATCATCCATGGCGTGGCATGCACAAAGGGAAGGCAAAATTTAACAAATCCCTGAACTAATTTCCACATATCTTTCTCATATAAACAGTGCACCATAAAGCAAAAACAATAGTCTTTCAATAGTTGAGTATATTGTATTATATAATACGAAGAATATGTGTTAGATGTTCATGAATTATAATGTTGCATGGATTATAAAAGCCTTTGATTGAAACATAATTATTTATGTGACATAATTTTTATTTGATTTGGTCTACGGATTAAGTAGAGAGAGACAAATTAACAGCAAAACTAAGTGCTGAGTTTCTTCCTCTAACAATTGAATATGCATAATGATCACTCAACAAGAACAAGTCTTCCTTTTCCCATTCACTTCACCACAATCCGTTACCTCTTGAACTTGTTCTTCACAATCGTTTACTTTTTGGCACCGTAATAACCAACTCCCTGGCAAAACATTTTGCCGTTGCCATCTCTGGCCGGGTGCAAGCTGGAAGCCGAAACCGCCACAAATCAAGCTCGTATTTATCTAACAAAAAATCATCACCACGGCCCTCCATTTCTGTTATCACCACCTTCATCACCCCAGGATATATCTCAATCACATGAGCCCGAACATTCTGCAGGCTCATATCATCGGTGGTAGCCGTGAAGAGGAAAGACTCTGAGGTTTCTTGAACAGAAACGTCGGCCTCGGAGTGAAAAGGGAGTTGAAGGACTTTGGCAAATACGTGAGGGAGTTTCTGGAGCTTTGATGGTGCAGGGTGGACCTTCATGATCAAAACTCAGAAAGATTCAATAAGAAAGGAGAACTTTCTTGAACGAAGTTGCTGATGGTATAATTAATTTATATACATAAAAAGAGGGAGAGAGATTCTTAGCTTGGATTAGAAAGTGAGGAGAAGGAGAGTCTCGGTGAAGTCAAGAGGTTATATAGAAGAGAAATCTCAGAATTTTGGTACAAATAAGGAACCTTTAAACTTGAAGAATAATGGACGGCAGGGCAATACTTTATTATCGCACCATATGAAGCTGCCTGCTGTGCTCATCACTGTTCCACTCATACAGTGGAATCCGTGAAGGCACTCCACTGTCCATGCCCAATTTGCCACATAAGTTTTCTTTCTTTCGATCTTTTTATTTTTCTTATAATTTAGAAATCTTTTTATGAATCCAAGTTTAAAACTAGAATCCTATCAAAATTCAAAACGTATAATTTTTAAATAAGAAATAATAATAAGATATTAACTATCACTGGGGTGGTCGAGTAGTTTAATAGAGACTATTGAGTGTAATACTCAATGGGTCCTGATTTAGAATCCCTCCTCAAGTATTAATAGAGGTAACGATTGAAGTTGTTATCCGGTTAGTAGTTCCAAGATCCCGTGGGATTATAACTATCTCTGGATTGTCGAATAATTCGATAGGGACTATTGGGTGTAATACTCAACAGGTTCTAATTTCGAATCCTTTCTTAAGTACTAATAGAGATAGCCACTCAAACTGTTACTCGGTCAGTGGTTCCAAGGTCATGTGGGATTAACTCGACTAACAGCTCTCATTTAATACATAATTAATCATGCCATGCATATACATTTTGCTTATATCCTTCCATCTTCCTAGTACAACTATTGGTAGAGTCAAAAGTATATATGCCGGAGCCGGGCTAGCTTGAGGGACTCACCCTTATAATATATCCTTCATCCATAGTTGATATATTTGGGCGTCCACCACTCTATTAAATTAAGCAGCTTGCACCAACACTTTCTGTCAAAGAATATGGAATCCTTTATTGATTTATAAGCTAATTAAGAAGATGAACATGGCTATTCCTTGCTTGGTGTTCGGTGGTTGAGACATTAATGGATTTTTTTTTATGGGCAGACACTATTAATTGTGTGATAAATTCTATACCATGCCTTTATTACGCTACAACTGATGCAAGAAGGCTTAGACTAATGTATTTAACTCTCAATTTGAATATGTGAAATTCTTGTAAATTAAGATAATGACAATATTAGACATTACAAACATCATGAATAATAGTTAGAAAGTGGGTATATTCTTAAATTATAAAAATTGAAATAAGGGCATTAATGAAATTTGGAATATGTTAAAATCTTGAATGGGCGAGTTTTACAGTGTCGAATAGTACCACTAGTTTCTTTACTTTATTGTTTAAAAATAAATAAAGTTAACATCCGGCCAATCAAATTTGTTCTATAATTTAATTAAAAGGCCAATATTTAAACTTTGTACGGTCATTATTTATTTATTTATTTTGGAAAGGTAATTGTGTTTGAACATTTTATTGTTAGACAGATCAACGCGAGCGACTGGTTAAACTCAGTGAGCGGAAAAAGGCTGACAAAACAGAACAAAACAATATGAAATAATTAATTATTTTAAGTCCATAAAAAAATCAACCTTAAACGACTAATTTTTCCTGAAATTAAAAAAAAAAATTTATTTAAAACATCATAAAACCTTTGCAAAAATATAAAAAAATTCACTTAAGAAAGGTGTTTCACAGTTTTCAAAAATCTCAAAAATACTTTAAATTTAACATTCTCTTTATATTAAAATGAAGACAAATCCCCAAATTATAATATAATAACAAAAATCTCCTTGCATTGATTAATTGTTATTGAATCGTTAAACTTTCCATTCTTATGAGTTAACAAATATTACCAAATTACCTTTCGTTTTTTTTGACACCTAAAATTTAACAATAGAAGAATTTTTGTCATCTTTTAAATCTTAAAAGGATTAACTCTAAAATTAATCATTTAAAATACTAAGGTACTCAAAACTGCATATCTTGTTTATTATTTTGGATGTTACCTAAGGATCCTATGCATTATATTTTTTTTTTTATACATATTAATTTGCAACCAACATCGTTTATATAAAAAGAAACAACTCTTTCTCACGTTTTGCATTTAAAAATAAACAAATGTAAACTTTGTTGGACGAATATGTGTCACAAATTAATCATCTTTCTTTTTCCAATGTATTTCTTTAATGCCAAAGATTTGCTTTAAAACAATGCCCTTTTCTAATAACACTATAAATAAATTGAGGACTTACTTGCACTCTTTTATAATTAGATCGGAATCTTATATATATGTTTATTTCCTCTATCCTCATTGGAGTAGGGAACTTCATCTTTAGATAGTAGATCGAGGTGACTGCTTTGAAGCTTCGTAGTAGAAGCCGTCCCAAGATGCCATTAAAAGCAGATGGACAGTCCACTATTAGGAACTCAATCATTTTGGTCATTTCATCGGTATCACCGCCCTATCTCGGGTGTGATGACAAGAGCATCATTGTGGGGATGATGCAATCGTACCGCGTTTTTATCAGAGAAGGTGATTTCCTCCTCTCTGAGAACCTTCGCTGGTCGCGACGTCTTGCTCATCACACTTATAGGGTTATGACGGGCTGCGTGGGCATACCTTTCATGGGCACCTCACGAATTCCCTACGAGATGTGGTCCCCCAAAAATGATCCCTACACTGCAGAGACATTTGCGATCACGACGCTTTTTTCCCGGTTCTTCTTGATTTTTCTCCCTAACGGAAGCAGAGTCATCAACATACTCTTTGAAGTGTCCCTGCTTAATGAGGTCCTCAATTGTTTGCTTGAGGGCCCGACACTCATCGGTGTGGTGCCTATTATCTCAATGATAGCGACAGTACTTTTTATTGTTTTTGGCCGAAGAAAGATTTTTCATGGACTCGAGCTCTCCGAGCAAACTGGCCTCCTCTGACTTATCCAAAATAGCCGATATTGAGGCATTTAGAGGGGTGTATTGACTCTTGTCGAGATCGCGACGAGGAATTGGGGTGTAGGATTTCTTGGGCTCGTATCGCTGCTTATTTCCTTTTCACTGATCGTCATTAGCCCATCTGCAATAAGCCCTCCTGTTCTCCCCCCGATCGGGAGCACTGCTCGAAGGACCAGGGTTGTGGTGGTTGAGCGTAGCCACAAAGTTTTCAATGCGGAGGTACTTTTCCATAAGGTTGTAAAAGCGGGTGAGGAAAACATCGTCCTTAGATTGCAACTCCTTCCACAAATCTATTTGTGGGCGAACTCCTGCGATAAAGAGAGTCCGAACGGACTCTTCGAGAGTGTGAGCTACCTTGTGGAGCTCCATGTGGAACCTGTCAATATAAGATTGAAGGGGCTCGCCCCTCTCTTGCCTTATGTTGTTTAGGTAGCTTAGCGGCATCGAGAACTTCCTGTTCGTCTGGAAGTGTCTAAAAAATGTCAAGCTCATTTGAGGCCACGAGCTTACTGATCCCGCTGGGAGCGACCTGAACCATCGCTTGGCATGGGAGGTAAGGGTTACCGTCAGGCAGCGGCATTTTGCCAAGTCAGAGACTTGGTGGAGTTCCATGAGGTCGTTGAACTCATACAGATGATCTTACGGATCGAAATTTCCATCGAATGCTCGCATGTTAGGCATTCTGAATCTTGAAGGGAGGGGAGCAGCTAATACTGCCAGAGAAAAGGGAGATGCCTCTACGACCTGCCCTTGCTTGTTTCGCTGAGCCTTAAGTTGATCAGAGCTCGCTGTAACTCCTCAATCTGAGGCAGTGGCACTATCTGGGGATCACTTTTCATAACGTGGGTTCGACCCTTACAGTTGCGGTTGAGGAAAGACCTTAGGTCAGATTCCTCCTCACTGCAGTTGGCAGCTCCGGCCATGTTCGACACACCCTGGTCGGAGTCGTGTGATGGCGTTGAGTGATTCGGGGAACCATCCTGACCTCCGCGGTGGTGCGAATCGACTCGCGGACAATGGGAATTCCCTGCACGACGACGATCAAAGCCGTCATTTTGGCAATAATGAGAATCTCCCCACCTTGCACTTTTGTGGGAGTGCTCGCGCGATGTGGCGCAAGATGGCTCAGGCCGCGACATGTCACCGAGTCGCAATGCCACGGGTATTCTACCTAGGGCACGATGGTGTTTGCTGGTCCCTTGGAGCCTTTAGGTCCGCTGTACGCTACTTGCTTTCCCTTTTATTTGACGCGTTGTAGTGCGCGCGGTATAGGCTTTTGCCCTTTTTCGTGCTTTCACGTGACCTGTAAGCGTTTTCGGCAGTGGCACCGCCTCATTTGATTTGGGTGGCACGACCCCATCCAATCGGTCTAGCCTTTGACTGACCGTTTGAAGAGTATTATTAAACATCTCCAGGTAACTCATGACGGTTGGATCAAGCCATGAGCTTGAAGGGATATCCCCCACGATATTTTGCTAAGCTGGGGGTACTTTGGGAGAAGTGTCCTCCTGTACCTAGGGGATCTCTTCATTGCCATAATTGGTTCGCTCAGATTCAAAACCGCGAGCCATTTGCTGTAATGAGACCAATTAGTTAGAGATTCTTCTGATGAAGAACGAGTACTAAATCAAGCCCTCATTCTAGCACCAAATTGTTGATGCTTGATTTTGACACCAACTATTCGCACGTGAAAAATACGAAGCGGGCTTAGAAGTTACACGTGGTTATGGAAGTATTTAGTTGAATAAAGGGTGAAGAACAATGTTTAAAGTGGTTCGGATGCTTACAAGGCAAATCCTACGTCCACTGATATTGTATTAATGAGTAGAGTCAGATTGCGTTCAGCGAGCTGAGTTACAACGTTGAGAGAGAGAGAGAGAGAGTATGTTATTCCAGAGTGAAATTAGCCAATACCACAAATAGGAGAGAAGACCTCTATTTATAGTGGGATGAATCAAAGTAATGATAACTAAATCTGTGAGTGGGATGGATGCCGTGCAAATCCTTCTCTACGTCCCATTGCTCACTTACCCGAGTGATTTCCTCGACTTGTGTAGGGATTGGATACATGGAGCACCTCCAACCATTTGTTAACCTGACGTACACCCACTACACTGGCAGGAGTATGCTACTCACGTCATCACGTGATGTGGCCGCATTTGAGCGGTCATAGAATCATCTTAAGTTCTGACTACCCATGCTGATAAGACTTTACGTCAGCCCTACTTTTTCAGGCATAACTCGTGTTATCTTTGCAACCAACATCGATTATATAAAAGAAACAGCTCTGTCTCACCTTCTGCATTTAAAAATAAACAAATGTAAACTTTGTTGGACGAATATGTGTCACAAATTAATCATCTTTCTTTTTCCAATGTATATCTTTAATGCCAAAGATTTGCTTTAAAACAATGCCCTTTCCTAATAACACTATAAATAAAATTGAGGACTTACTTCGACTCTTTTATAATTAGATCGGAATCTTATAAATATGCATTTTGTTTTTGTTTTTATTTTTTTTAACTCATAATAAATCAATCACCTATTAACCACTGGAAAGTCTAGTGATGTATATAATAGTCAAAGTCCAACACATTTGCGCAATTGTCCTCCCCCCATACTCTCTTAACACTTATAAACCGATTCAAACTTTAGTTAAGACTTAACTTGATGATGTGCGAGTCTGAGGATTTATTATGTATTACCCTTGAGGTTTGACATGAAACCTTTCACCCTTTAATTTTGGGAAAACTAACACTACTAACCCATAATGGTTTATCTTACAATTAAATATAACGGTTTAAGGGGTCAAAAAAATATTTTGAATGAATTGTTTACAATTTTGGCCGGACGACTAGAAAATTTTCTCTTCACCAAACCTCAAGGATGATAATGTAATTTAACCTAAGTTAATAAATATCAAAATAAGTGCGTTTTGGTCTTTACGCCTAACTTTGGTTTTGTTTAAACAACTTGCCATCACTTTAGAAAAGCTTCTTGTTTGGTGGATCTTAGACAGATATCCTCGCAAAGAGACAAAGCATTTTTACTCCAATTCCAAAGGGTTATTTGGACAAAACACTATGGACGGTGGGGGGTACATTTGACATTTGTCATTGAAGTAAATGCTTGGCTTGGACGTGGAGTTACTAGCCTTCGGCGTGCAAATAAAAGGTAAATAAGAACAATTTTTTTGACAGCCTTTTTATTTATTTATTCCTTCACTTTTTAAGCCTACCAAGCAAAGAACCCCCCACCTACTTTATTTTGGTTTCCCAAAGAACGTGTAAAGGAAAAGGCAATTTGATTCCTCTCTCTCTCTCTCTCTCTCTCTCATTAACCTTCCCTAACTTTCCATTTTCCCGTTGCTCATGAATTCCTTGTTTTTATTTTATTTTAATTTCTATTATAAATAGGAAAATAATACAATTACCAACGAATGCACATTAAATTCGTGTATCGAATGACGTAACATAATCTTAACTATCGATTAATATTAATTCATAATTAATCGACGATCAAGATTATGTCACGTTATTCGGTGTGCATCATTCGATAAATATAACATTGCTCTTATAAATATATGTATATACTAAATTTACTTACCCACAAGGGTTTATTCGGAAGATTAGGCATGTAATTTTTGCACGGCATAAAATGTCATGACATGTTATCGTATTAAATTTTAAAAGATACATTTAATTTCAATCAAATAATGAAAACTGACAGGTGTCAGTGCATGAATAGAGCCATAGCCCTCACCTTACCCACTACGCTCCAACCAAGCTTTTATCTCTATCTTTTGTCCGGATGTGTAGGACCCCAACTTGTTCCATGACTTTTGTGGCCCCCAGGCCCAAATCTCTCATTTTTCTCTTTTACTAAACTACCCCCATCCATATTGTCACTTCCAAATTCCTATTTATAAGAATAATATCATTTTAAGTAGAAAAAAAATCCATATTATAATTAATTAATTGGTATGGTTATCACATTACTATAAGCACTTTAGATCAGTTCTTAATTATTTTTCACAATTTTTCGACTAAATTATTATTATTATTAAAAGATATATATCACTTAAAACTAAAAAAATAAATACCACTCTATAAATATATATAAAAGAAAATCCTTATATAATTAAAGTAAGGATAATATTTTTCAAAGACGATTAATGCGAATAAATGAAATAAAAATAGTTTATTTTTTAATAAAAAGTATTTTTAAATAAGATAAATTTTATTTTATTTTTCAAACTTTTTAATATATTTTAAAATAATTAATATCATAATTTTAATTTACACAACAAAATTAGGAGTGTCTACAGTCAAACAATGAACGAAAAAATCTAACCAAGACCAAAAACAGATATGGAGGAGAAGTTGAGAACGGACCAGGGTCAATAGTCTCTAATTAGTAATTACATTCAACTCAAGGATGACATTCTCGTAAATAATTTCAAAACCAGGGGCATTTCCTTATCCACAGTGACCAGTCGAAGGCTGTGATATTTAAACATGACTGTGAGTTGTGATAGTCATTTCAGATCCGTGGATTCCTCTTCTCCATTTCAATGGCAAATTAAACCCCAAAAATTCCAAGTTACACAAAAATCAGAACCTCAAACAACCATTACAAAGCCCTCCCCTCGCCCTCTTAGATCTGACAATCTCTTCTCCACTACTTCACAGTCAACTTTCTCTTTCAGTTTCGGGTATTTTCCTTTCTCGCTTTCTCTAGAAAATCACTGTCAAACTCTTTTGTTATCTGGTTTTAGCTTTTAGATTTTCAGTTTTTACTTTCTCGATTTTTTATAAATTTTATTGTGTTTGTTGAGGAAGATCTGGAAATAAATCGATGTTCAAATTGGATCTATCTTGGAGAAGATCGTCCAGTCGTTATAGTGCTTTTCGTGCAGTTCGGGGCTTAAAGTTGTGATCTTTGACGGTGGATCTGCTGCAATTGGCATAACTCGTAAAGAGTAGTAGTTGTTTAACTCAGTGATGGAGACTCTCGTTGTTGTGGCTCAACACAAGAATCAATATTACGGCAGAGTCAAGCCAAACGGGTCGGGTCGGTCTAGAAACTTCAGAGATGTTAACTGTAGGGCTTTCGAATCCGGAGCAGGTATACTCCCAACCCCGATCAGTACTTCTTCTGCTTCTGTGACCAAAAGATCATCTTCTTTTGTTTCGTTTAATTCTTCATCTTCGTCAAAAACACCATCATCAAGTGTTAACGGAAACGTGAACTCTGTGGACAACATCCCAACGAAGTCGAAAACCAGTGCTAGAAGCAACCCTATAGCTATCAACATGAAAACCCCAAGAAATGAGAGACCTTTCACTGGGAAACTCCTTGGTGAGTTTGAAACCCTCTCATTGTCTGAGCTGTGGGCCGGGCCGGCTTACTCCAACTCGCCGCCGCCGAGCTCTTTGCCGATTCCCAAGTTTTCCTTGCAGCCGAAACGCACCGTTTCACTTGATTTGCCAGTAATGGCTGATGAGGCTGCTGTTGAAATGGATCGTCCAATGGCTAAATCTGCACCCTCGTCACCAACCAGGGATCTTATTGGTCGTACTAGGGATATATTTCTTAGTGCTGACTCAGCGACAAAGACTCTGCGTCGCATTCTCAATCTTGACAATGTCGATGAGTGAAGTAGAAGGAGCTTTATGCGCTCCTGTAAATAACTTTAGCTTCTGAAGTGGGTTAGTGTTAGATTGTATATACAGTTGAAGAAAATAAAGAGTTGGGTTGGTAGTGCAAGTTGGTATGCGGTCGTTTCTTTAGCTTTTGAGTTGGGTTGGTAGTTTGAGTCGTACGGGGTTGTGTTTTGTTTGTGTTGGTGTAGTGGATGGCTCTGGTGGGTCAACAATCTCCAGATTTTTCATTTGAGATTGATGTGGAGTTGGGCAAGGTTAGTGTAACATGGTGTGGCTAAACGGAGGGAAGTTGACTTGAATGGGAAGCAGAAGGAATATGGGAGTCGTGGTGATGAATGCATGCCTGCAATCTTATTTGGCGTGGGATGGAGCAATTAACTACTATCTAAGCTACTGGGCTGGAAGAAAAATTACGTCTTTGTTAGATTTGGAATCTATGATGATAACTTGTCAGTATAATCTAATCTCTCAGGGTAAAACTGTTGATTCTCACAGTCATGGACTTAAGCACAAGTTCTTAGGCCTCTAGTGTTAGATACCGTGTATATATAGTAGATACCTTGATTAGACCATTCACAAGTTCTTTAGATCTCTGTTTATTCTTGTTATTCATCTCTATCTCCTTGATTTCGATTTCAAAACCCTTTCTTTTTCTATCTGATAATCTTACATCGATTAGGCTCTTTGTTTCTTAGTTAACTGTGTCAATTGGCAACTTATATGATCCTTATATTGTAACTCTTCTTCTTGGTTCAACCTTCCCTCAATTAGATGCTCAGCAATCAAGCATCTCTTCTTTGTAGTCACAATTTCTTACTATATCTCGTTTACTTAGAATCTTAATCCTTTGTATACATGTGTTTCTTCCCCTTCACCACATTTTCGTGTTTTTTGAGAGGGAAAAGTGGGAGGGGGAAGTGAAAGTAGTTATTTGCCACTTCTGCTCCTTTAAGTTAAGCTCAATCCGTGTTGCTCTGTCCTGTTCTAAGTACTATTAGTTTCTTGTTCTTCTGAGTTGAAACACCACTTGTCTCCTGGTCTTCGAAAAGCTTATTTTCCTTGGAGATTCGTTGACTGTTGCCAAGCCATTTACAAGGTAATAATTTTCCATGTCTTTAACTTTCAATCCTTTTGTAGATTTACTATCATGTTGAAGTAATTATATGTTTTATTGACGTTAAATCAATTCGCTTGTGTTCCAGGGTACCATTGTGAGAAGTGTTTGGAAGGCTTTCTCAGGACTAGAACATGTTCGTGATAGTTATGGTCTTGACCGTTAAGTCTTGTATGGAACCATATGCAGTGTCTGTGTCTTTCTTGTAAAGAACTGTATGCAGTTCTCGTGATTTCGTGTAATCAATGTATGCTGTTTCCGATATATGCAATCTCTTTTTCTTTTCACCTGTGTCTTAATACTGCATGTTATCTTTGTCTTGCGGTTATTGTACCAGGAGTCTCTTGAAGCAGAGGAGTCAATATGTAGTGTCAGACTAAGATGTTCACTCTTCTTATTGAGTCAATATGTAGTGTCAGACTAAGAGGTTCACTCTTCGCAATTACATGTTATGTTCTGATAGCAATGTCGCTGCTTTATAGTTGGATTTAAATGGAAGTTTGATGCTGTGTTCAATGTTTGTGCTAGTGTTTGTAAGAGTATCTTATTATTGTTGACTCTTTTTTAGGAAATGAAATCAATTATTCAGAATGATGTTGTCTTTGGATCTTTAAACAAGGATAAAGCTTGAATACTGTTTTACTTGAAACCTTAAACTGTGCTGCTGTGTTCTACTCTTAGCTTCTTTCTCTGTCCAGCTATCTGCAAATGGGGCAATCTTACATGATGTGCCAAGGCTCCTTTCTCTTTCATTTGATTTTTGGGTTAACTAGGATTTTGCTGCTTTGTTGTATGTTGTACTAGACCTGTATCGTTTTGTCCATTTGTACAGATTGATGCTTTTTAGCTCTTTTCTTACGGTAGTTTTGAGTTTCCCAGATTGATCCTCTAGTTTCATGATTGTTGTGGGTTTGTGAGATGTAGAATCTTGATTACTCATGACTAGGTCTAGGTGTTTGTGAATTTTGATATTTCAAGTGGGGTGTCTTCATTTTGTTTTAACATTTTACTTGATTCATTTTCCAAATTGATATCCGATCCATAGATTTCAATCTTCTTTTGTCGTCTCTATTACCATATTCAGTTTGAAAGTAAAAGCGCTCTCGTTTTGGGTGCTTTACATTCTTGTGCACATATAATATCGCTGTAAGATCCTGGGTGGGGTTTAACACTTCCTTTTGTTGGGCAGATAGTCACATTTAAGTTGTCCATAGATTAGATTATGACTCTTTCGCCGCCTTTAAATAGAGTATGCATATGTGAAGTATGATATTAATCTGTGAAAATTCTTCTTGTAATATGTATCCATAGCCAAAATGATGAATATGAATATTGGAGAGGCCTGTTACTTTCTTTTACATTGGAAACAGTATTAGTGTCTAATATTTTCGCTTTGTTGAATACTACTAAAGAAAGGATATATAAACATTTATCATAATTATATTAAAAGAAGCATGAAACAATTCCACTCTCTCTTTTCTTTATTTTCAATCCTACTCTGAATCATCAACAAGAAAATTGAAGTTACAACTTTATTTATTCTTATCATTATCGTCCACTTCTTATAGGGCCTTTCTTTATTTTCATAATGTTATTGTTTACAGTAACTCCACTGTTTCTGCGGTGCAAGTTCTTGATTCCATGAGGGAATGATCGGATTAAAACTTTACTTAAAGATTTTATTAATTGATTGGATTTTCGTTATACATAAGAGACAAAATGAACTTCTTTAAATTTAAATATACAGTATTAAATAGTTGAAAGATACAGTCCCATGTTTGTTGAGGTGTCAACCCCTCTATTACCCTCCCGAAAGCAATGCAAAACACGTATTCGCATACACTGCACGACAGATGGACAATTATCCCAGCAAGTATATATATAGTTTCCATGAAGGTTGGTAAATAGGGTTGAGCAGACATTGAACAACTAAAGAATGAAGCATTTTTCTTTTCTATCAACTAGTTCCATTGAAGTTTGTCGATGATAATTTCTGTTCGTGTGGATCAAAATAAAAATTAATTGCATATTAATATTTTTGTTAGGATGAACCAAAATATAGAAATTATACATACTAGTACTTAAAAAAAAAAAAATTTGAGGGTGGACGATGGCTAGATCCGCCCCTGATTCAAATTTTAAGTGTATTTTTTGAACTCGAGCAGTTTTTTTAATTTATTTTTCATGTGACCAAGTACAAAAGAATTGGCATCGTATCTCAAGCTTGTTTGTTTACAATTTTTATATAAGTTTGGTTGAGATCCATATCTTCATCAGGCATTATTTTAATTATACAAAGATATTATGAGTTCAAAATACTGAGAGTGGTCTAAATCCATGTGTCAGCCATATCTTAATTAATAACTAATACGATCCTCTGTGATTATATAGATGTTTCATCCATTAAGAAGGGCATAATTTGTTTTTATTTTTTATGATGCTAAAACGTTTTACATGAAGATTTGAAATTAAAACCTACAAAGCTAACGAATACTTTATTTTCAAACTTGATTTATTTAATATAAATTGTTATTATTGGGTATTTGCCATTTCAAAAGTAAAATGGATTAAATTGAATTTTAAACAGTTTGTAAATAAAAATTATTTAAAATGATTTATTATTTAACAACATTTTAGGATGTGATTTCTGTATTTTAATTTTTCGTTTTATTTATTATTTTTTTGTTTCGTCTTTGAAAATTTGTAATATTTTATCATGAACTATTTTTACAGTTGAAATCCGAGAAAAAAAAATGTTTTTATTCTTACTTTATTATCGTAAGAAAACGATCATAAATAAAGTTTATATGCAACTACTATTTTAAACATCAATAATGTTTTATTTACAGTTGAATCATACAACTGAGTTATACAAATAAACAAAAATTACACAAAATTCATATAAAATAATTACTTTATCTTTTTTTTTTTTGTCTGTTTGTATAACTTATTGTAAGCATATTATTGCTCTTTAATCATAATAATGAACAACATTTTTAAATTTTAATAACATAAAATCCAGTTTTTTGTTTTCATTTTCAAAATTTTCTTAAAACCAAAATACCTAGTAGCCTAACATTTTGGGGGTTTTCGGCACCCTGAGGCTTATTTGAATCAGCAAAATTTTTCTTAAAAATAACAAAAATTCTCCTGTCAATAATGAAACATTAGTTAGCCATTTCAACATACACTATTATAAACTAATAAATATTTACCTAATTTTTCCTCTTATCATTTAGTTTAAAGATAAAGATTGACTTACAATCTAATCTTACAAACTTTTTGTCACAATCTAATATAATAATTCGCAATTGATGAGTTCGCAAATAGGTAGACGGGACCCATAACAAGTAGCAGGATTCATTTACAAGCTGATTAATTGTGAACTATCATGTCGGGGTTATGAGATTGGGTTGTAAGTGTAGTATTACTCAAATTTTGGGGGAATTATGTTATTAACCTTAAGCCTCAAAGAAACCCACCTCTTTCTTTGGTTGGTGAGTAGTAACTCTCAATCTATCATGAAAAGGAAGAAAACAAATATATATAGATATAAGGGAATACAAATCTGTTTAAACTTTATCTCTTGATCAAGTATATAATTTCCCACCTACTGCTTACTGAATTGGTGAAGAAAAAGACGTGAAATTTGGATCTGTCTCTCTTTAAAAAAGTCAGTTTCAGATTAATCTATCCCATAATATATATAAACCAATAATTAATACCAAACTGTAGTCATCACTGAACCATAATTCAGAAATGTTTATGGCCACCAGAGATAAGATAAAGAAACTACACTCATCAAAGGAAGAAAAGAATCTTCATGACTCAAATAATAATTGGTCCCATCAACAATAATCATTAAATAATAAAAGATAAGGCAAAGTTTTCAATCATAAATCATCTTCTTCATCTTCTACTGCAACCCAAAAACAAAAGCTTTGGATATCAATATACCCTAGAAAGAAGCAATCAAGTTTACATTATCTCTCTTCTATTATTTGGAGAAAAATAATTAATTTTGTTGTCCCTCTACAATCAGATTCATGGAAATTTTTTTGGTTAATTCTCCAATTCATCGAGCAATATTTCTTGGTAGCGGCATTCTTGACTGCAAAAAGCTTTTTCACCCCTGCAGTACAATTAGCTTATCAATTAATGATGATTAAAGAAGATAAAAAATTACTTTTTCTTTAAAAAAAAAGAACAAAAGAAAAAAAAAAATGAATTTAGCATGCAAACCTGTAGATGTAAATGTCGTTTTTCTGTTCAAGATTCTTCTTGCAAGTATGGCAAAAGCTGAGGAAGTTATTATTAATATTAATATTATTATTTTTATTCCCCAGTGGGGAGTTGGGTTTTTCGGATGAAGAACAGTAGCTCTCAATAATGCAGTTGTCAAATATGTGAGTGGTTTTCGGATTTGCTCCACGAGATATCACGCACGTATAATCTTCAGAAAGTTCCATTTCTGTCACAGAAATACACCCTGTGACAACTCCTGGAGAACTATCGTTCGTTTTAACAGTAGAATTCTTGGCTGGAGACTTAATCCCAAACTCAGTTGGAGATTTCGTAGACGGAGACGGAGACGGAGAAAGATTAGAAACAGGCAATGGAGGAACTTGAACTCTGATTTTGTTTCCAAAGAAAACTTTTTTGTAATTTGGCTTGGAAGAAGGATTCTCTTCAATGGTTTTACTGTCAGTTAATACGTCAATAAGACCTAAACCAATGGGTTTAGAGTCTAAACTTTCCCTGGAATAATATTTGTTCTGATCAGCGAGAAGTTTTGGGGTCTTTAATATGTCATCGGAGAAGAGATTTCCGAAAGGAGAGAATGGTTTTGTTTCGAGGATTGAAGTTGGACTTATCACAACCTCAGTTTCAGCGAGACCCTTTGTTGTAAAAGCTCGGAATCGTGGAGAAAATAAGAAAGAGATAGGTCTTTTGTTGTTTTGGGAGTTTGATGATGGTTGAAAACTGTGATGATCCGCCATTAAACTTTGCTTGCTGGTCGCTGCTCTTGATCTCTTTCTCAACATTACTAAGATTTTTCCGCACAGACAAGAAAGAAAGATAGATGTAAATTAAATTCAGTTTTGGAAATGAAGAAAAGAGAATAACTGATGCAGTTGTAAACAAATTTTACATCAACTCACCTGAATCAAGAGATTAAAATAAGGCAGAGACCGCCGTGATTATCAAACTTTTGAGGCTCAAAATCTCACAAAGGCTTTACTGTGACCGCGTCTATAGGAGTCTATGTTACACACAAACCCAGAAAAAAAGAAATGAAAAAAAAAAAAAAAAACTGACGGCAGACACTCTTGGGAAGCTGAAATGCGTCCTAAATCTCTGTAGCCTCCATGTTTGAAGTAAAAACAAATGCATAAAAACTGGGTTTTCTCGTCTTTTGTGTTAGTATTTCTGTAATTGTTGCTTAACGAGAACAAGAATCAATTCATGTACTCATCATAATTATGCGCATACAACAACCCACATGATAGAACTGCAAACATTAACAAACACCTCTGAAAATTTACTGCAAAAAGAACAGTGATCTTTATATACCCCTGATGCTAATTTCTGTCGGAAACAGAATAAATTGTTTTGCTATTCCCAAAGAAGAAAAAAAAAAAAAGATAACCCACTTTCTCTCTCCCTCAACTTTACTTTGTTTTTGTATGTCTTTGTTTAGTTACAATCCTGCAAAAATGGCCATGAAACTTTGCTTAAAGATAAACGTAAAGAGAAAACAAAAGGTGAGTAATCAAAAGAGATGGAGAGAGAGAAAACTTTAATAAGACTTTAAAGTTGAAAGGGAAGAGATAAGCCGAAGGGTTTGGGGTTATAAAGAGAAAGTTTTGAGTTGAGAGTCGTGTGCATGAGAATGAGCTGTGTTTAAGAGTTTAAATTATGCAACCAATAACGTGTAGTTGTTTCCATTTATTGCATTGCATTGCATTATTTTTGTTTTGTGTGTCAGTGTTTGCGACTTTTGTCCTTGTCTGGAGAGCCTTTTTTCTCGCTATTTTGTCCTGATTCTCTCATCTTGGTCTTCGTTTTTCAGTTTCCTGAATTCTGATATGAAATACTCAAACCTGGTACCATTCTAATCGCCCTTTTACGGTATTATGGTACAGATTACACCGTAACGGTGTAGCAATATTAATACATCAACATAAAATTTATACTTGTGTCCAAGCTGGCGAATGGAAGAATTTACTGTTTGATTTGATTGAAGAAAGAAAGAAGAAAAAGAATATTTTATGGGTGAAAACACAAACAATTGTGTTGAGGGGATTAAGAGAGAGGAGGGTTTGGGGACCCAAAGGCAAAGGGTGCAGCTTTGGCCAGTCATGAGCTCTCTTTAAGGGACACGTGTGTTTGTACATTAAGCCTTCATTGATTGATAGGACCAGCTGCTGGCTCTTTCCTCTTCCTCCTCGATAATTTTCGCCATTATCTTCTTTTGTCATTTTATAACTTATCTCTGAGATATAATAATATTTCTTTTAGGTTTTACGTTGGATATAACAGTTTATAATTCATCAGTTGATAATTAGGAGAAAAAATTAATGATAAGTTAATTATTTATAAACTATTACATCATATTTATGAAAAAAATTTAATTAAAATCAATAATTTTTTTATTTGCCCATAAGAACATAATCCATATGAGACTTGAATCCTATATCATTCTAGATTTTTTTTTCTTGAATAATCGAAGATATTTATATCAGTTTATACGTCTCAACTAATTTTCTAGAACCTTAAAACTATCATCTAAATAAAAGTTATAATGATCCCTCGTATTAAATGTTAAAGTCTTCCTTCATGAGATTTTTTTTTATTGTTTTTTATAATTATTAATGTTAGTATTGTCAATTTTAATGGGCTCACAGTGGTCCCAGTTATGGGGTAAGGCCCACAAGAAGATTAATGATGGTGAGAAATTTTTAAGTGTTTCTAACTGCAGAGACGTATACCACACGAACCAAACTCCACGCCGTTTTCTTTTTAAGTTAAAAGTAGGACCCACTTCGCCACTCAGATTGCTAGGGGGGCCCTTCTTGGCTCTTATAATAATTATTATTTTTTTGACTTTTTCAACTTAATTCTGGGCCCGCGGCCCAAACTCGGGCCACGTACTATTTTTTTTTTTTTCACTTTGCCCACCTTGTCTCTTCTCTTTTCTCAAAGAAAATCATTGTGAGAGAGAAAGCTTTATAAAAATTATTTTCATATTTTAATTGATTTATCATCTTATTAATGTCAAACCAATTTTTCCATCATATAATAACAACGTCGATGTGACACACAAATTATTACTAAACAGTATTATTACTGTTTAATTTCATTATTTTATTATTTTTTATTTTTAGTGAACTAATGCTTTTTATGTGAGAAGGGTATCGATGATAATGGGGCATATATTTTATTCGAGATCTTACAAAAAAATATTCCATGTCCTTTTTAGAGCATAACGCCATGCTCAAAGCATCAATTCAATTCTTAAATTTTGCCATGATAATTACTATACATATTCAATTTAAGGCTGAATTACAATTTTTTTCATCCAATGTTTTTCTAAATAATAAATAATTTATCACCCTTTGGTTATGGAAACTATCAATATATTACTCCTTTTTTTTTTTTTTTCTTTCGAACACAAAGTTTAACCGTTAAAGTGCATTTACATCATTTTATGCAATATATATATATATAACCTTAAGAAAAAAGAATAAATCTAAGGTTTAGAAACCCTAATCTCTCTCAAAAACCTTTCAAATGGACAAAAAAGAAAAGAAAAAGAAGTACCCCTTATTGCCCGATGGTTGACAATTAACAACAATCTAGCTTGAGTCACGCAAAAACCTGGTTCGATCGCCTCTCTCTTGCACGTCGTTAATACTCCAACATTCGATTAATATAGTCAAATGCTCCTTGATCCCAAATTAAGGTTTTGAATTTTGAAATTTATTATTTTTATAATAATCATTAAGGGTAAAATTGACATTTTAATGATCGATACTGTCAAACTCGGGTAGATTAGAGACGAATGGCGGGTAGGTATTGGATAGTTTTGGAAAGTAAGGATAGCAGATTGTTATTTCACAAAAAACATAGTACGCCTTTGAATTAAATGATAATAAATAGCAAGACATGGACACAGTCCCATCCCATCCATCCTCAATTATCAAACAAATTCCAAAGTCTTTCATCTCATTTTATCTTTTTCTTCCTGTCCAAACTCATTACTTCACCACATTTTATTTCTTTTAAGACTTAATCACATTGACCCCCCAAGGTTTAATTACAAACAATGATATCCTCAAGGTTTCGAAAGTAACAAAAATTCACCTTTCCCCTTGTGGCCGGATGACAAGCTCTTTAGCCATTGGGGTTAGTTACACCTGAATAGTTTTGTCTTCAATCGTGGAAAAAAAGAGTAATAAAACATCTCTTATTTTTAATCTCAAAGGGTTGGTCTAGCTATTAATAAGATTTGCTCTATTCATTAACTTCTTAGATTCGAATCATCTTGAGGTCACCTACCGCATTTATGATTAACTTGGAATATTGTGTTTATAGTGTATTCAATAGATCTCGAGAACTTATTAAAGTGTACGTAAACTGGTCTGAACATCCCGATTAAAAAAAAAAATCTCTTATTTTTAGTAAACTGTTAACGAGTTGTTAAAACTTATAATATTATATTTTAATAAGTATTTATCTGATTCCTATCTTATCATTTATTTTAATAACTAAAACTTAATAATAAGATAACTTTTGTTATTCCTTTTTAACTTCGGAAAATTATTGTAATAAACCTATTATATAATAAGATATCTTCAACCCTTATCCGCTTATCTACTCACACGCTGACAAGAACCAAACCAAGTCCCCCTCAACTCCAAAAATGATAAAAAGGCTTAGGTGGCAATATATTGATGGGTAATGTTAAACCATAAGGGACCCATGTAAAGGTCTTGTTCAATAAGTTTGAATGGTGATGAGGATCCTCTTTCCATCACCTAAAGTGGGAGTCTCTTTCCATCAAGTTTTGTGAAACATAAAATGAACAAACATCTGTGTAGAAATATAATTGGTTTATTGACCACCAATCCATGCATAATTTCAATCCCATCTCCACCTGGCTAAGATAAGATTTGATTGAGAAACGTGATGGCTCCATTAATTAGTGATTAATTAATTAACAAAAGAGACTAATTAAGAAGTGCATTTGTAGAGGCTTAAGTGGGTTGATATTAGTATTTCAGAGATTAAGGAAGAGGGAAAGTAACTATGATGAAGAAACCAAGTCTAGACAGTTTAACAATTTGCTTAAGATTTTTGGATGTAATATTTAAAAGATGTTAGAGGTTATATTTTTAGGTAAGCTGGCCTGATAACTGCAGAGTTAAAAAAAAAAGAAAAATAATAATAATAATTATGAATGAAGAAGCATAGTGGAAGTAGCTATAAAGATATTCCCAAAACCAAAAGGAAGGGCTGGAGATTAATGATGGTGAAGCTGAATTGAATTTCGAGGTGACACATAAAGGCCCACACACAAATGTAGATTTCTTTCTTTTGTTAAAGTAGGCACTGCTACTGCCTACTGCCCATATTATTTTGTCTCTTTGTGAGGTCTAATAAATATTAGGGTACGTTTCTGTTATTATTCCTTATTCTATTTTTAATCCTATTTTTAAAATAATTGTTTGTTTAATTATTTAAAAAATATTATTATATTTTTAACTTATCTATAGACCCTTTAAATTTATTAATTTAATTTAAAAATTAATAAAAATATCCTCATTCATCCATAATTATCAGATTTCAGCAACTACCAGTGGTGATAGTTAGAATCTATCACAACGGCCTACAAATGACCGAAACGGACCATTCATTCATCAATCTAGCATTTTTTGACCGTCGACGATCAAATCTAATCTTTTTGGACTAGATCCATCGTAGATCTGATCGAAAAAGACTAGATCGACGCATGACTGACAAGATCCTATCAGTATACGTTGTAAAGCTAAATTCTGATGATGGTGGTCAGAATCTGGCACTGTGAGTGAGTGAGGGTGTTTTTATTATTTTATAAACTTTTTATATATCAGAGTGTTTAGTTAAATTAACAAATCTAAAAGGTTTTTTTTTTTTAATTTTTAAATTTTCACAACTGTATACGTGGTTGGATGAAGATCAACAAAATAAAGCTTCTAAATGTACGAGAAAGCAAAGAATCAATGAACAGAAATGACTGCTTCAATGTACCTTTCAAATGGCCATTCCTCAAACCTCAAATCATAAAGGTAGTTTTTGTTACCTGAAATCTCACCATGTAATAGAGAGTTCGAATGAGTTATCATCAGTAGCAGCTATTTCAGGATCTTCAGCTCTTATACCACAGATCTAAAGAAACTCCTGATTCCAGAAAGTTGCTTAATTCATACATAAATTCTCATGAAGGGTAATGTATCATTTTCTTAATAATGTCCTCTCAATTTCAACATCATTGATAATAAAGATAAATGAAAATCACAAATGGTTGCGGTGATTCATTAATACCAAGCATCACACACACACCTTGCCAGTAAAGTAAGATGTTACAATCATTTTCTTACTAATGGGCACAATTAACATTACAAAACTTCCTATCCGAGCAACAGCATTGGTTGAGATTCGGATCCCTACAAAATTTAGCGAAATGAAAAGAGTTGTCACCCTGACTGAAATAATGTTATTGTTTGATTTTTCTATCATTTCTTGTTCTCTTTCTAAATTCACGTTTCTCTGAAGAGTACTGCTTTTTGATCAACAAATTGCAAATTGATGTTTTTACAGCTTCAGCAGCCGCCAAAAAGACCT